ATGTTGACTTCACTTTAATTCGTAATGAATTGAAGACAGAAGAAATGCATTTTACCTTAATACACACATCTGTAACAGTATCCGAAATCGGAAGTCATCAGTTGCAAGTTTGTTGATAATAGAAATTAAAAATTATTGAGGAATTTTTCTTCAAATGTTTGGCGTGTTCTGTTCCTGAAAGATTTACTAATATTCTGGAGATTTTTTTCAAGTTCTTCGGCCTTTTCCTTAGGGAAATTTTGTTTCTTATTTGCTGCTAAAAAATGGCGTCCGATTCTGTCAAGGATTTCAATGGAACTAAATGAAAACGTGATAAATTAATGTCTGATATTTACAGGCTCCCGCTAGACGGCGTACTCGAGCGTTGCGATCGCGAATAGGAACAGAGTTAAAATCAAAAATTCAATTTTTAAAACAAATTCATGTGACGGGCATAATTTTTTCCCCCAGAAGTTCTGCTTTTGGTGCAAATTGCTTTCGAAAGATGGCACTAAAGAAACGAAAGATGGCAACAAAGAAAAATAACTGAAAATCATATTGCAATATTTTCGTCATACCATCACAATTGCATGCCGGAATCATAGAAAAAAAATGTAAATAGTTCAAATACAGAAAGGATTAAATTGAAAAATTAATTTTTCAAATTGAATTATTGTGATTCAGATGGGCATTCTTCCTCTGTGTGTGTATATATATATTCGGTGAAAATTTACACAATTGGATAAAAAAATTTGGCTTACAATACTTACTTTCAATTTTTCGTTTATCTACGTATTATCATTTTCTAAAACTGAATGTACTTCTTAAAAAATTAAATTTAAAAACAAATTTAACGCATGGATGATACAATAATTGAATCATTCATTGTTAAAACTAGTTTTTATGTTAGTACTAGTTTTAACAGTAGTGCAACAGATAAAAAACATTAAGTGATTAAATGCTGCCTATAAAAGTACTTTGTACCTAGAAATGTTCTACTACTTTACCTTAATCATGTAAATACATTTAATATAATTTTCGGCCTTTTTAGGTCCTGCTTACTTGTTTTCTTCCGTTAGGAAGCCAACTCCAGAAGAAATTACTGCCAGTTCTTTATCGAGTACTTTACTAACAGTTACGAAAGATATTTTGAGGTAAGTGACACTGAAGAAAAATCTGCATAATGTAAATATTATTAAATTTAACTCCATGTCCAATAAAACGATCAAATATGGGTAAACTTTCGCAATATTTATATGAATGGTTTAGTTACAATAGACGTGGCAATAATTTGTCAGAAAAAAACAAAGCAAAAATGTTTACTAAACACATTTGCATCGAAGATATACAACTTTCAATTTTGGGTAAATAATCACAAGAAACAAAAGCGTTGGAACAAATTGGAAACACCAGTCGTCATGTTTCAAGCGCTTCAAGACTTGCCAGACGTGAAAGCGTCTCGTAAGTTTTGTAAACGTCTTGTCTTCACGTCTGGCAAATCTTAAAAAAATGGGAGCCTGTTTTTGAGAGCTTGAAATATGTCGACTGTTATTTCTAATTTACATATTTTTGAAGTAAATGAAGTTTTTAATCAAGCAATTTTCAATGTGTCGAAAACTTTTTATTTCTATTCTTCGTATAGTGCCATCACTTATGGCTTTTCAACCCTACACTTTTAAAAATTTGGACTGTTTTGAACCATGGCATTGTTCAAATTTGTTAAAATCTAAATATAGTGCTATGTTAATATATGATAAAGTTTCTTTAATTTAATTGATAAGATACCATGGTTCAACCTGAACTTAAAAATGGTTTGGGCTAATAATTTATTAAGATTACAACGAATTTGAACAATTATTATAGTACAAATTACCGATAACATAGTTCAATATTGAGCTGATTTTTTTAGTCCATATAGAGGTACGTTACATTTTGGTTTGTAATATCTAAAAAATTGAGGTATCTTCTGAAAAGATAAAAATATGTTAAATTAGTCCCAACATTTTGTTTAAAAGTTTTGTTTTTTCTTAATTTTAAATTCCTTGTAAAATTTGTAATTCGTTTCGTGGAATTTTAAATTCCTTATGAAATTACGCTATACGCTATTTTATGATTCACTTTGAGTGGAAACACATGGTTCCAATTAACATTTTATTAATGTTGAAACACAATTGCGTAATATTGCGGTTCAACGCTGAACTTAGTTTTCTGAAATTGTAGCGTTGCTTTGTTTTCTTATTGGGATTACATATATCTTTATGATATGATATGATATTATATGATGTGAGATATGATATGATATTATATGATATGAGATATGATATGATATATGATATGAGATATGATATGAGATATGATATGAGATATGATATGGTATATGATAAGATATATGAGATATGATCTATAAGATGATAGGATAGGATAGGATAGAATTATTTCTATTCATCAAAAAAATGTAATTATTTACTTACCGTTTTATGGATTTTCCTTGGACAGAGAAATCACATGATGTAATCATCTTTTAATCCGATCATTAGAACAAAGGTTATTCAGAGTTATATCTTTTCGTTGTTCACTGTAAATATTTCGTATAATTTGAACCAATTTAGCTTCCTTTGATATCCTGAATCAGGCTGATTAGGACTACCGAATAAAACTATTCACTTTCGAGTTTGACAACATTATAGAGTACCACCTTTTCAAATTTCCTAAACTGCAATCCATTACCATTAATCAAAATTAATTCACCTTTATTTATTTATTTTTAATTTCAGCTTCAAGCCTCGCCATTACAGGAATGTCTCGTTAGAGTTCCGAATGGCCGAGTTGCAAAGGTTAGACTCCAGGGAGGTGACAGAGCTCCTGGCACAGAGGGGGATTGTTGTACCACCACTGAAAGGTGTCAACTGTGACCTCAGCACGCAATATTACAGGACAATGGACGGTTCTTGCAATAATTTTCTGTTTCCTTGTTGGGGTAAAACATCTGAACCATATTTGAGATGGTTACCACCAGCCTACGCAAACGGTAAATTTTTTCTTGTATAGTAAGTATGTTTAAAAACTTACTCCCTTAAACCATACTCAAATAAGTTACAACTGCTGAGTGATTTGAAGGATTCGTAAGTTGTGCTTAAAAATTTACTCCCTTAAACCATGCGCAAGTAAGTTACAACTGCTGAATGATTTGAAGGATTCATAAGTTGTGCTTAAATTTTTTTGCACAGATTAAAAAAAACTTATGACAAAGCAGCGTGATTTTACTTTTATTGCATTTCCATCGAATGCTCTGAAGAGTTAAGATAGTGGATTCGATTGCCCTTTAACTCCGAAATTATCTCAAAATCTTTTCTTATGAATTTCTTCCGCAATCTTAGCTATTTATGTCATTCAATTCGGTAGGGGATTGGAAGTATTACATTGGCTGTACAAAGCTTTCAAGCTTGTATAAATATGTATAAATATGAATGTCACAGTGTAGTTAACACTAGTAAAAACTCCGGAGCAAATTACGGTATAAAGTACAGGTGTTTTGGGTGCATCAATCGTAAAATCCATTTTCCCAACGAAGTTTTACCCTGTAATTTTTACAGCAATATTTACTTAGAGAGAGTCAGTGATTATACTGTAATCTGTAATTGTTATTATGAAAACTTCGGTATATCAGATTTTTTTTGTTCTGTAACACGTTCTGGTAAAAATGGATTTTACGGTAGAAAGTACCGACACCCTGAATGCCGATACTTTTTTCCGTAATTTAATCCGAATTTTTTTACAGTCTGCACAAATGAAGAAAATATAACTTTTAGCTGAATATGAACAAAGGTAAAACAACAATGAAAAGAGTACAAACAGGCATACGAACAACTTACCATCATAACAAATCACCTACTTCAGTCAACACCTCCTAGAGAAGAGCAGGCCTCAGCACGGGTTACCATAAATATCCTTTAGTAGTCCAAACGTAATGACATATTTCGTATTTTCAACCACTGCGCAGCTTAGTACCTCGAACGTAATGACATCTTTCTTATTTTTCATCTACTGCGCAGTTAACTTCGTCACATCGGACTACTAAATTGATCCGTGCTGAGGCCTTCCTTCTTCTAGGAGGTGTTGCTTCAGTGCACAACACAGAACTGCAAAAGAAATTACACACAAGTTAAAACAAGAAAAAAAAGGGGATGACCAAGGATAGGGGAAAAGATCGAACAAAGAACGATAAAAAAAAAGAAGAGATAAGATCGAATAAATATTCCTGATTCATCAATCCCTTTTTTCCTGTAGTAACTTTATTGTAATTTCTCTTCTGTAATTCTTTATTGTAATCCCTCATTATTCAACAGCGAAGAAGGTGCATTATTATAGTATCGAAATGGTTGCTTGTATGACATTATTCGCATTTTTTTACTTGGTCTTAGAATTATTTTTAACCCCTTAACGCTCAGATTTTTTGAAGAAAAAAAAACCTCCCAAAAAAGATCTATTTTTTAATGTAAAAAAACACACTTTAGAACATTGTCCGCTCCTGGTTCAACTTTTCCTTTGGTGGACAATTTTGATATACTGCACTTTTCTTCCATGGAAAAGGGCTATATTTTATTCTTGAATAAATAAGTGTTATAGCTTAAAATCCTATGTAAATGATAAATATCAATAAAACGATTTTTTTCTTCTTAGCTTTCACATTGTTATTTTCAATTCTCGATTATATTCGAGTGTGAAAAATTACAGCAGCATAAAATACAATGCAGCTCGAATTATCTCGAGTGTGCACTGTTTAGCGCGCTCGAATTAGTTCGAACGCGCAAGTTAAGGGGTTAATAGAACTATTCGATTTCACAAATCTTTTATAATGATTTTCCTGAGATAGGATGATGAGAAACGAGATCTTCGTATTTCATGTGAGATGGCAGCAATTGTTTGTAGAAGACTGATACATTTTAACCTTTTAATGTAGGTATTGATGCACCGAGAGTGCGTGCTGATGGTAACCTTCTTCCCAGTCCCCGGCAAGTGTACCAGTGGGTATCCAGTCAGTTTGAGCAGAGCGCAAATACCACTTACAGCCGCCTGACAAATTTTATGCTACTCTGGGGACAGGCGGTAGCTCATGACATACTTTTGACACCCCAGGTTGTTGTTAAAGTTTGGGATGGAAAAGATTTCGAAGATGATGGTGAGTTCAAAAAAATATAAAGTTCCTCTGTATTGAAGTTGAAATTAAAAGCAAGTCTTCATTAAACGTATGTTATTCTGTTTTTTTTTTTTTTTCAAACAAAAGAGACAATTTTTTGTCCTGTTTGACTTGATTTTTCTTTACACTCGTCAAGCAATAATTTTTTGTTGGATTAGAACAAAAGTTCCTCAAAACGAGCTTTTTTTCAGAAAATTAGTAAATAGCACTTTTATCTAGAACGATTTTATCTAGAACGTTATATGCCAGGGGTGGCCAACCTGCGGTTCGCGAGTCACATGCGGCTCTTTGAAGGATTATTTGTGGCTCTTGATAAATGTACCCGAGTTCCTTTTTCATTTTTGTGCTATTATATTTAAAAAAAAATTATTATCGTTCCGCATGTGTTTCGAATTGTCTTTTAAATTACTGAGAACAAATATGAAAGACTAAGTGCAACGTTGTTCAATTCAAGGTGAGTTTTCCATTTCCAATATAATTATGACATAAAAAGCATCTGGAGAATTAGAATTAATAGAGATGCAAGAAGATCAAGCTCTACAATGAAAATATAAGTCGACGTCGATTACTGAATTTTAGAAATTTGAACCAGAATCGAAGTTCCTGAATTAAAAAAGGTTGCCTGTCAATTTATTTCAATATTCGGAACAACGTACTTATGTGAATCATTTTATTCCACTTTAAAATTCAAGAAATCCAAACACCGATCACTATTAACTAACAAGTATCTCAAAGAATTACTGAGAAGTGCTGTCACCAATTATTCACAAAATTTTAAAGAATTATCAAGAGAAGTAAAATAAATGTGTTTAATTATTAATATTTAAATTCAATACACATATTTTGTACTTTTACTTTTTTATATATGTTTTCAATAAATATAATTTATGTATAAAAAAATTGTTTTAATACCTTTTTGCATACCTTTTAAATACGTATTTAATTGCGGCTCGCGAAAAATTTCAAATTTTGAAAAATGGCTCGACTATCAAGGAGCTTGGCCACCCCTGTTATATGCCAATCATTTCCATGTAATATGGTTTTTTGTCCATTTTTTAATTCAGTATTATTATTAGTTTTCTCTATCAATAGGTTTTCAGATTATTTTAGGTTTTTATGAATTCAATACAAGTTATGACAGTGCTTAATGCAATTTTTTACAGAGACAAGATTAACAAATCACAAATATTAAAAAAAAAATCTTTTTGAATGAATGTTAACTCAATAATTGTAGTTTTAAATATATTAATAAAAAATTAATTCTTCATATTGAAAAAAAGTCTTGTGTTAATTTATATTTAAATCAGAAAATTCATATGAGGTTGTAACATTGCCATTTCCTGTCGTTTCTCGCCTAAGTAACAGCCACAAACATCGATGGTTCTCAAAAGATTGGTTTTTATCAGTAAAGGATTTTTTTTAAAATTATAAATATAACGAAAACTTTGAGAGCAAGTCGTGTTAAGTGCTCAATCTCGAAAACATTTGATCAAACACAAACGTGTCAATAAGAAATGTTTTGTCTCAGAATGGATGGAACTATTTTTTTATGCTCTGAAACTTAACTTCAAACTTCTCAAATATAAGTTATGCAATGTTTCGTATTCACGACAGCAAGGACCACATATAAATCAAAATAAAAAAATTAGCTAATAGCATGAGATAGCAATATGCAAAATCTGATAAATCTCTATGATATAGAAAAAGTCGAATAAAAAGTCATCGGAACCAGCTGATTTGTTAAATGAAACTGAAATTCTGGAATAGAAACGATACTTAATAATAAACAGGTTTCAATATTTTCTAATATTCAACTTTCACCGATTGTTATCGATAATGATTCGACAGGTTCTAATTATTGATTTGCGACTTCTAATTTCCTCACTTTTGAGAAGGATTTTGAAAATATACAGTAAGGTAAGTGATTACGAAACATTTTATATCCTTGATCCCTTTTTGTATACCATTTGCAGCTCCCGAATGTTGTGAACCAAGTGGACGATCACACACAGAATGCATTCCAATTGTAATGAATTTCGACGATAGTTTCTATTCCCGAGAACATTGCTTGAGTATTGCAAGGTCTGCACCTTATGTATATAGCCCTTTCTCCTGCAGGAATCCAAAGTTAGGTATGGTTTTTTGTTATCATTATACGTAGTAATATCTTTTATACGTCATTAAAAGGACATCGGCATATATTGCATTTGACAAAAATTGTGGCACACATTCGGCGTGACGAGTTTGATATGGCATTTCAGTTATCCGGCATCGCTCTCGATTGTTTAATTCGAACATTTTTAACCAATATACTTAGTCTCTGTAATCATTAATTGCAACTCCTAATTGTGATTGTGATTTTTAAACTATGATGAGTGAAATTTCGATCGCGATGAGTGATGCGTTAATTGCGTGAAAAACGAATGTGGGTTTTTTTTAAATAGGGAGAGCACGAGAATTGATGTACTGTTGAAAAGTTTTTTTGAAGTTTAATCACACGATTCATAAGAATCTACTTTGTTATATGGTGAGGAGACAAAAGTCATGGGATAGCAATATGCAAATATACAAGTGGCAGTAGTATCGAGTACAAAACGTATATATGGGTACTGAACTGGTGGGACTCTTATTTGTGTTATTTATCTGAGATTGTTTGTGATGTAATTGTGACTGCAAGACGTGAATAGAATTAACAGACTGAACGTGGAATCGTAGTTGGGGCTAGACGAATGGAACATTCTCTTTCGGAAATTGTATGAGAATTCAACATTCCTAAATCTACAGTATTAAGAGTGTGCCAAGAATACCCCATTTCATTTTCGTGAAATAACGGCAAATATCAAGGCGGGACGGGAAATGAACGTGTCCGATAAGAAAGTTCGGAGAAGTTTGTCAGTAATGGGTTATGGGTTAACAGGAGTCCGACTCGAGTGCTGATGGAAAATTTCGAGTGAAGCGCAAGCCCCACGTGGACACGGACCCAAGTTGCCAACAGGGCACTGTGGAATCTTGTGGTGGCTCTATAATGAAGTGTGCTGCTTTTTTATAAGCACGGACTGGGTCTTATTGCCCGATTGCACCAATCATTAACTGTAACTGATTATGTTCAGCTACTTGGAGACTACTTGCTGTGATTCATGTACTCAAACAACGATTGTGTTTTTTTATGGATGATAATGAGCCATGTCACCAGGCCTTAATTGCTCATGATAGTATTGAAGAACATTCTGGACAATTCCAGCGAATGATTTGGTCACCTAGATTGCCTGACAATGAATCCTATTGAACATTTATGGGATAAAATCGAGAGGTCTTTTCAAGTGCAGAAAAAACCTTCACCCACAACACTTTCACAATTATGGACATCTATTGAGTCTACATGGCTGAATATTCGTGTCAGAGACTTCCAACTACCTGAATCCATGCCACGTCAAGTTGCTGTACTTCGCAGAGCTAAAGTCGGCGCGGCACGCTATTAAGAGGTATAGCATGACTTTGGTCACCTCAGTGTATAAGAATGGAAAAGTACGCGTTCCGAACATTATCGCTTTCATTATTTTGCTGTTTTAATTATGACGCGCTTGTGACGGGTGTCGTCATTATGGCCGAGCTGCTAATTGCTCGATAGTGTTGGCAGATGCATTATTTAAGATGAAGAATGATGAATTTTATAAAAAAAATATTTAGTTTAATAAATGAACTATAACAACAAATCCTTTTCCAGTTTAGATGAAATTATGGCCGAAAATTCATTTAGCGAACTTTACCTGTCCAATACAACTTTTTTTTCTCTCTTCACCCGCTGTTGTAAAAATTCCCATCACCAACCCATCGCCTCTGCCAGTCTCGTTCCTCTATCTTGAATTAATCCTTTCAAAGCTGTTTTATGCTTTTGTTAACTAGCACAAACTGGAGCGGATTCTTTCTGTGCTTTTTCATATAACCCCCAACAGACGCGATATAAGAATAAATTATCGTTAAATGAATTATTTTTTCATTCTCTCATCCATAGTTTATGTTAGCATGGTTAGAAAATATACCGAATAAAGTTCCACAATTATAACATGAAATCGATTTTTTAATAACACACTCACGAGCATCGTACGGATCAGGATTACACTTGTGAGAGTATATTACATCATCTGTCAAACTTACAACATAAGCATTTTTAACTTTTTGTAAGATCTTGATTGTCTGAGGTTTTCGTTGTTGGAATTTTAAAGCTTTTGTTTACATCATGTATTTATAGAAAAAGAATTACTTTCTATAATCTGACTCGTGTAACAATATTCGACATTTAAATATCAGGGATCAGAAACTGTTTGCATTTCCCTTATGTCAAAACACCATCATGTTCATTTAAAATATTTTTAAAAAAAAAATCGAAAGAGGGACCAAAAAAATTTAAACAAAAATCATGCAATAAATAAATAAAGACAACCTAGTAATCTGAATTATGCACTTATTTAAAAAAGTTTAACGACGACTAATGCTTACTTGAAGACGAATGAGGCTGTGGGTAGCGCTTACGTCAGGACTGGAATCCTCAATGAATTAGTTGCTAGAACCATGATTTTGCCATCTCTACTAAAAGGCGCTTCCGTTTGGTACACAGTCTAGAGAAATGAAAACAGTGTTCAGTTGATAGTCAGAAGCATTGATCTGTTTTTCGATTTTCTGTTGAAAAATAGATTTGTGTTAACTGATATTTGGAGCGTGCGAAGAGTGTTTTCACTAGAATGCGTCATCTGGTGGGTACATGCAGCGAGATTGCATGGTGCTGCCATCCCTTGAGCGAAGTCTAAATCACACCCGGCTCCCCAAGCAGTAGCGGGGACCATGGTAGCCCACTGATTAGAGAATAGGAATTCGGAACGGAGAAAGTGGAGTTCTATCCTCGACTCCACTAAAACCCACCAATACATGCGATATACGCATTCGTAAAATCTATGGAATCAAAAGTCATGTGTGTTTGGGCGCTGAGCAGTACCATAGGTACAGAAATCTGGAAATCTATGGGTGCAGGAATCTGGAGATCTCCTTGAGATTTATATCTAAGCTGTGGAATTGGCTTCACAAATGTGATCTCCTCTGTCTATGGTTACATGTCTCCGGATCATCCTCAGGGATATTTCTCATACTATCACCAATAGCCCATTGTCCAGCTCTAGTGCTATGTAAATAAATTATCTACCTACCCTAATGCAGTAGCAATAAAGTGCAAATAGCGACAGCAGGGCGAGACATGTGTCCCAGTCAAAATGAAGCATCGAGCTTTGCGTGCAAACCTAGCTCTGTCGAGCTAAGTGGTGTTTATAAGATGTTTGTTACAAACTTCAGAGAGTTTGTTTCATCGCGAAGAATTTATTTTCTATAACATCCATCGAGATTTTGTTTTCAGGATTACCGAGGGCACAGATAAATCAGTTGACAGCATTTCTGGATGCGTCTCTAGTCTACGGTGAGTCAGAAAAGAAGATGAGAGGATTAAGAGAGAAAAACGGATTCGGAGGTAAAGTCATTAATAAAAAAAAAAGAAACCGAATTCGTCTGTCTTTTACTTCACTGTATTGTTGATATTGTTATGCTATTTTAAGCTAGGTTAATTATGGACTTAGTTCACGGTATCGGCTATCCCCCAAGAAGAAAAGAGGGCTGCAAGTCAGGGCATCCGACATGCGATCCAAGATGTTTCCACGCAGGTAAGTAAAGTAAATATGTACAAGACACTTAACGCATGTTTTTAGAACTTATTTAAAATGAAGCTTTAAAGTATACACATTAGTTTTATTAAGATAATAATTATACGGAGGTAAAACAAAAACTCTACCAAAATCTGCCAAATTATTAGTGAGAAGGGGTATTAAATCATTGATACCAGTTTGATTATCTGATCAATCTTGAAGATGTTTCCGAAAATTGCTCTGCAACTCATCTCTGTATCCTCCAGAATCAAACAGGTTTTGATGTTCTCAGTTGAAACAGGTTTGGCCTTCCTCAGTAGTGATTCGATATACATCGGTAGCATTTTTAATTTTCCCTTGCTCCCATTTTGTTTTTTCCCTGTTAATTTTCGCAGCCTTATCTCCATTATTTGTTGACGAATTTTACAAAATATATATAGTACAGGCTATCAATAAGGAATATTTTGTATGTATTTTTTAAAAATTATATGTTATTAAGATTTGGGTTGTTAAGATGTAATTGTCATTGATTTCTATAAAGGTTGTTGAATTGTTGATATGGAACAATCTGATTTCTGTTGAGGTTGTAAAGTTGTTAATAGGGAACAATAATTTTCTAAAGAGTTTGTGGAATTGTTGACAGGGAACAATCTGATTTCAACAGAAGTTGTTGAATTGTTGATAGGGAACAATCTGATTTCTACGGAGGTTATTGAATTGTTGATAAAGAACAATCTGAACAGCCGAAATGAAGCCGGCTTGCTCACCCGCTATCAGGCTTAGCTGCTACTTTTAGTATTAATGTCTTTGTTCATGATCACAGTTTTAATTCTTCTTAAATTAACAAATCGTTCTAATTATAAATGCAATCTGATTTCAGATAATTGTTTGTATAAGATTTTCGAACATTTACCCTAATGATGAAATAGTTAATTTGCATATATTTTAATTTTTTATATTTATATGAGTTTATTCCTAAACTGCTGTTTGTAGAAAATGCAACACCATGAAAGAATCATCAGAATCAAATGAAATTTAATGCAGAAACGACTTGTACTGANTGGTGTTGCATTTTCTACAAACAGCAGTTTATATCAATTTTTTTATTGCTATAGTCAAGGATTGAAAGTAAACAATCGTTTAGATGAGCAATAGTGCTAGAATTCTAGGTACAATATGCTTCCTCTCATCCCAGTACTGATTCAGCAATCCAGATGCATAATGGATATTATTAGCAGTTAACAATTGGCAACAGTCGGTAATAAGGCTCGTTTACGAATTCATGACCAATATTTAAATCTGAACTGTGTTATACCAATACAGAATAATGATATGCGTATCGCTTTTCTTTTATGCACAATTAGGAAGTGGGTATAGTAAACGTAAAAAAAAGTTTGTAAAACGTAGGATTACAGCTCCTATTGACAAAGATGTTGAACACATTTTATTGATTTATTCGTTGGTAGGAAAAATTAAGACTAAATAGAAAAGTACTCGTAAATTTTGAGCGTGTTTTTATCAAAAAAGCTGCTTTTATAAAGTTATTTTATAGCGTCAAATAGAGCACAACTTACTTGTTTCCATTATTGCATCAATTTAAAGTTTCTTTATAAATGCCTCAATGGACAACGAGTAATTTAAGAAGAATTAATTAACCTTATAAACAAAACATAAAACATTATTCTCAAACTTGTTTAAAATCAAAACAAACCACTTTCCACACGTGGAGAGCGACTGATATTTTCTCTCTTACTCACAAACAAACAGAACTATCTATATAAATGAAACTATTGAATCTCTTTGTTAGCTACAAAGATTGAGGCAAATGTTTACAATGAAAACGAAACAGTTAAAATGTACTAACTACCATGTGTTGTTTATTCAACCCTTTTTCATCCAGTACTAAGTTCTTAAAGTCGAATACCCATTTTGATACAAATTTCTTGTCATCTTCATTTATTCTCATAATTTAAAACAAAAATTATCTGATTCACTGGCTGCTTTGTAAATATTCAATTTCCTTATGATTCGTATTTTTATCAAATTGAAAATTTTCATTTTTACTTTGTGTTTAAGGTGAAAAAAGAGCCAATGAAAATCCAGTTCTAGCGTCCCTCCATACTATTTGGGTGAGAGAACACAACAGATTGGTGGAAGCATTGAGAGGGCGTGGCTGGTCAGAAGAAACGCTTTTTCATGTTGTACGCAAGATGGTGGGTGCTATGTTCCAACATATTACGTACAAGTGAGTTTATTTTGCTTGTCATTCGAAATAAAATCGTTTTAAGATAATATTTCAAAACGAATAGAAGTCATAGCAGCTTACTAGTTAATTTAAGTTACATTTAGCACATTAACATTAGTATTCATGGTAAGGTTAGCTCATTGTACAAATAGCTTCTCATATTAATTGGTGGCTTGTTTTGTCCGGGCGACACCGATTACAGTATTAACATAATTTTTACCATCAACATGCGAAACATGAGTGGGAAATCCATTATCTTCGGGCTAACCACAAGGAGGTATAGTTATTTTCCTTTAATACAAATACAGGTTATATTAACTAATTCAATTTCTTATAAAGACGAGTTCGTTTCGTTTTTCCCCTCAAGATGGCTCTGAACTGATTTTTTTAAAGAAAAAAAAAATAAGAAGAATTTCTAGTTGAATCTCAGTTATTTGATAATCTGTTCACTAATTTAAGTAAAGATGCAAGTTTTCCTTATCGTCGGCAACAGCACGGATAAAAACGTTAAAGATAAAGTAGAGTTTCAAAGTCAAGCCTATTTTGTTGACCATTTTTCAAATGCGTCATACTATGCTTTTGGATATAAAGTTTTACCATTGAAAAGAATTTGGCAATCTTTTTTTGAAGTATAAAAGTAGCAGCAGATTATAATCTAGATAAAGGAATAATTAAGTTTCAAAAATTGACAAATAGAATTTTAAAAAAATAAATTTTTTCAAATACTTTGTTCCCAGACAAGATAAATCCCATAGCTTTATTGCAAGACAAGATAGATCCCATAGCTTAATTGTAAAACCAAAAAATCCAATCCATTTTGTCCAATTATTCACTGTTTGAAATCTTGGAATGTGTTGAACAATATTTTCGTTCAAGTTAGCTGCATCCTTAGATTGAAACATAGATCAGTATTGTACCCTATTATCGTTCTTCTCAAACTACGATATTATGGTTCAAATTAGAGAAACTTGGCTCAAATCATATTATGGTAAAAATAAGCAATTTTATAGTACGCACATTTTATTTATACATTAGAACTGATATTATAACATAGATCTCAATTTGCACAATATTATCGAACTACTTAAATCTGCTATGTTTCAGATACAAAAAAATATGGTTCAAACTGTTTTCTGAGACAACGGTGAACCAGAATATCGGTACCTTTAACCATAATATAGTTTGGACCCTATTTTCACTGATCTGATCCATAGAATTGTGCATTCCCGCTTAAGAAGTACGATAATATTGAGCAATTCAGATCTATGTTATATTATCGGTATCTTACATAATATCGGAACATATATTAGAACTTAAATCTGAACTGTACGATATTATCGTACTTCTTAAACCTGACTTCAGAATGTAAGTACGGGCTCAGATCGCATTATGGTTAAGGGTACCGATATTATGGTTCCACGTCGAACCGATTTTTCTGATAGCGTACTAGTGCAGAACCTACACAAATTTAACTTTCAACTATTACATATATGGGTGATTCTCACAAAACATGACAATTCACTGTCCCTTGCTCCAAGATCTAATACTATAATACTAAAAGAACTTTATTTAAAAAAAAATTAATAAATAGCATTGCTGTTAGCATTTTAAAATGACTTTGCACTAGCATTGACTGTTTTGTATACTTAAAAAATTTAATTGAATATAAAAATGTCATTTTCCTGGCATGTCCCAAACAATATATCCAATAATAACTAGCTTCAAAACTTCCCATACATTTTTCAAAATCTAATTTTTTTTATCTTATCCTATGTAAGCATTTCTAGAATATACGCCGAGGGTATTGTTTACTAAAACTTCGTTTAAAATAATTTTTTCTGTCAATAATTTGTTTGTCCCATGAAATTCTGTCATTTTCCTGGCTTTATTATTTAGTGATTTATAACCAAAATAGATAGCGCCAGGAATCAATATCTTATGTTAATAGATTGATTAGATACCCTCCTATCTGAACATGTTTTGTTGCATGAATAAAGAACCAATTTTCTGGCTCAAAATCTATTTCAAAAATTTTTTCAAGATGAGTAGGTTTTTATGCTGTTTTTATGCTGTCATTTTCCTGTCTTCTCGAAATCATTAATAAAAAAAACTACATAGATTTATCTGAGTTATTTTAAGAAATACTGTTGTTTTCTGCAGAATATAAACGTCCGGCCAAAATATTAAATTAAGGTAAAGTTATATGCTATAAAATGGCGAATTTGTCATTATCCTGGCTTATGAATGCCAGGACATTGAAGTGTTATCAGAAATTCTTTTCAACTGCTAATACTGTAAAGAGGGAAAGCAAATATTAACCTAATACCAAGTTTATGTATGATGGTAATATGCTTGGATGTAATCAAAGTTATTTATTTATTTAATGATTGATTATTATACACAATTTTATTCTGTACATATCAGCAACAAAAATTTTTTTGTTTCTTTCTACAGTGGATAAAAAGAATTAATTTAAGCAATTTATGGTCCATCTAACATAAAGGCTTAAGTTGAGTTACTTACTATTAACTTAAAATGACTGTTTTTTAAACTTCTAAGGTAATATGTCATTTTCCTGGCATTCAAGATTTGGTGAATTTCTATATTATTTTTTTTTCTCGAGCAAATGTCAATAAACTACACTGTTGTCTATAAGATATTAATAAGTGTAGCTAAAGAAGTATACAAAAAAAATTTTAGATTATTTTGAAGACTTTAAATTTGAAGAAATTTTTTCGTCCCAATTGTCATGTTTCGTGAGAATCACCCATATATAAATTTTTTATGCACTTTTCTGGCTAAATTTCTTGTCATGTTTAATAATTTATGTACAAACGATCTATTTCAAAATTGCATTTTTTTTTCTCCAGAGAATATTTACCTGAAGTCATTGGTCCGGCACTCACAAGCGTAATGAATTTGACCATCCCAACCGTGAACTATCGTTATAACCAGTTACTCAATCCGACCCTGTACAATGTTTTCGTGTCAGCTGCCTACAGGTACGGTCACAGCATGATCAGTTCACGATACATGCGTAGAGGTACCCATTTTCAAGCCAGTCCGTGGCTGAGCGAAGATTTTTTCTCGATGGACGAATTCTGCAAAACTTCTGGTGACTCTATCGCGCCTCTTCTCTACGGGCAAGCTGATCAAAATGTACAAAAGGTGGACTGTTTGTTTTCAAAACAGGTAAATAACTGAAACTAACGTACGCAAAATTATGCTTTCTATTTTAAAACTAGCTGAATATCCTTTCTTTATGCGTCCCGCAGTGGACTGATCGTTAAGACACGGTTCCCAGCAGATCATCGAAGTCAAGCATCGCTGGCTACGATCAGTGTGCGGGAGGGTGACCTCTAGGATCAGTCTGTGTAGGGACTGAGGGTGTGCTTTATTGGTCCTCGTTAAAAACTGTTCTACCATAAAGTGCTCGACATCGCGTGCAGGTCGTTGGGCTACCGAAGCGGAGGTGCCATCCCTCTGCAGAGGATCAAAATTGTGATGGCACGTCTTCGGTTCATCCTCAGGGATGTTTCCCAGACCGTCGCCAATAACCCATTGTGCAGCTCTAGTATGAAGTAAATGAATTACAACAACAACCTTTCCTTATACGGGGTAAAAAAAGCAATAAATTAGTGCTAAGAAATCAAGCACAAAACTAAAAAGCATGCACTGACAGAATTAATAAATGTAAAGTAATTCCAAATTTTTTTATTTATTTATTACTAGCCGCCTGTGGCAACAAGCTGGTCCATCTACAACATGAACTCACGGTTTTGCGCTTCCTCATTGTCTTTCACCAGTACAAACTTACCACTTGGCGGCTCCACACTTGCTTCTGATGCCTTCGAAAACTTTTTTCTAAATTCTCGGCTTTAATATTTTAAGTACAATCAAAGGGTTTGAAATCTTTTTTGAAACTAGCTTATAATAGTCAGATCATCCTCCTAAAACGTGATTTCACACAGTCGTCCACCTTTATAAATTAACCTCTTCATGGTTTAATCGCATGAAAGTCAATACAGTTACAAATTGAAACTGTTTGTCCAAATTTAAGACATTCATTTAAGTAAAAACGTGTTCCTCAGCATAAATTTCAATTTTGGGTAAATTACCCTATATATATATTCCGGCAGTTAAAAACATTGAAGCGATTTTTTTTTACTTGGTGAAATACACATGATCCAAAGTTGTACCATCTATTTCTAGTAAAAACCTGCTATTCATTACCTCATTGCTGTAAATTAGATTAATTACCTCTTTACTGGTCTAATAATTACAAAATATCAAAATGAATATTTTTTTCTTTTCCATAAAGAACACATGGTTAAAACTTGCGACTTTTCGGCAAAAAAATGTTTTTTAGCCATACTGTCAATATGTTGCATAATATATCTAACACTAGTGGGCTGCGCCCCCTGCTCGCTAACCCCCGAAAATTGCTACGCAATCCTATATGATTTGCTTCGCAAACCAAGCTCGCTTCGCTTGCTACTAACTTAGGTACATTGCAAATGCACAAAATTCTAAGAATTCAAAACAATCATTCAAATCCATATAACAACTTAAAAAAAAAAAAATTACATCTATTTAGTAAATACTAAGTCATTAAAAAAAATTGAATTCAAATAAATGACATGTAATTCGTTAAACCTATTAGAAATGTGCTGTAGTATAAAATCTTAAAGCGTAACAGCACGACTGAGACTCATTTTTCAATGAATACCTAATAACAATAATAAAACAAATAAATTCGCGATATAAATCAAAAATCGTCAAATAAATTCGTAATATATAAATTCGTGAAAAAAAGTGCTTTCGACAAAATACTAAAATAGAGATCTATCGACAAAGACTACTCATTTCTGCCTAGCTTAATAGTATGAGATTGCTGCAGTTGATGCTCTCTCAGGTTATTTCAGTTTCCGTTTTTAAAAGCGCTATATGTTGAGCCAATTCAGTTAGATTTGGCATGTGACATTTTTAGCGGCAATCATTGGTCGATTTTCCAGCGTTGCCATTCGGGGAGTCGTAATGAGACTTTTTTTTTGTCGCCGTGTAAGAGATATATATATATATATATAGATGTTATGTGTTACATATGTAATATAATGATTACAAAATATCGAAATGAAGCTTTTCTATTTATTGCATAAAGAAAACGTTTTTGAAATTTTAGGTGGAGATGGCAGAATTAGTGATTAGTGAGTGAGTAAGGGTCTTTGTCTGTAATCTTTACAGATTTTTCGCTGCTCGTGGTGAATTTATGCTATTATATTGAGCAGAAAAGAAAAAAGAAAGTTTTAAACTTCGAATTTCTTAAATAAGGATAGATTGCATTCAGTATCATTTGGCATAATGCAGTTGTTCGGTTCGCTGTCATAATCATAATTGGGAAAATTTACCTACGCATTAATTTTCTTATCCCTGTAGGGGAACCACACAAATTCTATTTCAGCAGTCTCTATATTAAAGACTCATCTTAGTAATTTTCTTCCGTCTTAAAACAACACATATTACCGCAATACTAGTAGTACCTATTACCAAAATTAATTAAGCATCATTGGCGTTAATAGTTGCAATGGTGGTTTTTTACAGCTCCTATGTCCGGACACATAATCCAGTGCAAAAAGTGCAATAACCAGAGATTTCTCAGACTGGAGATCAGGGGAAAGAGCGTTTGCTTCCAAGTGAGGTGACACGAGTTCGAATCCCAGCGATGGCTGGTTGATACGAATTTTGCTCCCACTTCACACCGGTCAAAGTCATGACGTAAAATATTCTCAGTGACAGACGGATCATGGGTTAGAATCCCCTTGCCGTCGGGCCTTCCTTGGGAGTTCTTCGTGGTTTTCCTCTCCATATAACGCAAATGTGAGTCAGCTCCATTCTTTTTTGCTTACAAAAGAATACTTGATTACTATATGTTTGAATCTGATGAGCTAGAGAAACGAGAACGGAACTACGAATTTTGATACGAGGTCTGTTAATATTTTGTATTTGATTGCGTTTGCGGGTTTGCGTGGTTCGTATTACGAGCTCATGAAAATAATGTTGATCTAATTTTAGATAAACAACAACAAAATTAATGAATAGCGGATTAATTATTAATTATGCGTTTATTGACAACAGCGCATTGGTCTATCTCTAGACGCAATGATATCCAACAAGGAAGTAACTTTTTTCTAATTAATGTAGGTGGCGCTACTATTTCTACATTCATACCGGCTTCAACAAGGTCGTAGAGCGATAGCGTGCAGGGTTGCTTTTTAAACATTATTTCCCATCATTGACTGGAGTACTAATTTAAATATTTTATTTGACTTTGTAGGTTACTAATCATCTATTTTCTGACACTGCCAATGGGCCAGGGCTAGACTTATTTTCTCTTAACATTCAGCGGGGTAGAGACCATGGTTTACCACCCTACAACAAGTGGCGTGAGGCATGCGGTCTACCGAAAATTCGTGATTATCCAGATTTGAGAGGCATTATTCCTGATTACTTGATAGACAGATTTGCTACTGTTTACGGGTAAGACGAAAGTTATTGTCAAAAATATAAGACAATAATTTTGTTGACAAACGATATAAAATAAGGTTCAATTATAAGATAAAATTTATAGCGATGAAAGCTATAAAACAAAATAAGTAATATTGGTACGAGAATGGCAAAAAAGGTAGGGTAAGAATCATAGTGACAAAAAGAAATAAAACAAAAATTTAGCATACATGAGAAAATAGAATTTAATATGCATGTATCTTGTAAGCAACAATTATTGCAAGATCAACCTGATTAAAAACCATTTAAGAACATAAGGTTGGATCGTTTACGTTTATTAGAGTTCTTCTAATAGAACCATTTGTTTTAGTTTTTTCCTTCTCGATTTCAATTTGTATACTTTACTCATAGTTTTTATTTAAAATTGGGTATCTGTAATCTGAGAAGAAAAAAGAAGACAGCTGAAACCACAATGATTGTACCATTGTTGTGCATAGCGTGTAAATGCTACAGCTATTAGACTTGGTTCATCATCGTATCGATTCAATTTTCGGATGTAATTTAATTGGATACCTAGTAGTGACGTCACGCGTCTAGTCTGTGTCGAAACTGATTGGCTGCTGAATCGTGGCATACCTAAGTCAAAATTTTTGATGGTTTTCCATTGATAGACCAAGATAATCTTGATGGTAACCGTCAATAATTCTATCATGAACCATCATATTTCTGATGGTAACTAACATAAGTAACCATCATCCCAATGTAGGAATTCGGACTGATTTATGATGGTCCAACATAAGAATAGCAACTTGTTTTGATGGTTTGTGCATATTAAACCCTCAGAAATTATATATCATAGTATAGTTTCATTATAGTTTCTTAGAAATAAAATGCTGGAACCGTTATCCCTATGAAAGAATTCGGACTGATTTATGATGAGCCAACATAAAAAAACCAAATTATTTTGATGGTATATTCTTAAGAACCAGCAAAAATTCCCATTAAACCATTATGGAAACATATAGTTGGAACCATCATGGATTGTTGGTCCATGAGAATAAAACTTCTCTTGATGGTTAACCACATATTACACATACATTAAGTAAACATTTTCCATCATGGAATGATGGAAGTTAGCTGGCATATCAAAAACCATGAATGCATAATGGAAAATGTTTGATGATAGTGACCATCAAATGCTGTTGGACCATCATTAATCGCACTGAAACCAACATAAACCATCAAAATGATTTGATGGAACAATCAAGAATTTTGACTTGTTCAAGCAAATGCTGCCATAATTTACCCAAGCGTGACGTCGCTTGGAGGTATCCAATTTCGAACTTTGATTTTAAAAGCATTATAGGTTACGTTACTATGACAACTTTGGTTATGAATGGACAATGAAACAGCTTTAATAGTGAAATTATAGTACAGTAGTTCGCGTCAAAAATATTTTCCTTTTAATTCCTGAATTCTTTACTTTGAATTCAAGAATAATTTTTTTTCAGTGTTCGGCATAATTATTTTCCATTTACTTTGTTGACGTTACGAAATTTATCTTCTGAATGTATTTAATATTATGTTTCGTTTCTAGTCCTGGTGCTGTAGATGAAATAGATTTATATGTAGCAGGAGTGTCTGAATTTCCAGTGAACGGTGGTATTTTAGGTCCCACCTATACCTGCATTGTTTCCAATCAGTTTAAAAATTTGAAATTCGGAGACAGGTTCTGGTACGAGAATTTGGATCATCCGGGTGCTTTTACGAAAGGTAATTCAAATAATTATTATATTCAACATTATGCTCAAGATTTGATGAAATGTTTCCTATGGTTATTAATTTTAATACTGCAAAATTTAAAAAAATAAAAATTGTGAACTTGAGAAACGTGAACACTATTCGTTTCGTTAAAGGAAACGCACTTCTTAAGTAAAATTTCACTGTAATGGCCCAAATAGCTTTCGAGAATCTTGAGATTTGGAGACTAATTGTTTCGATAGCTCAGTTTATACCAGTTTCATCCACTTTCGAAGTGCATTTTTAGGAACTCTTACGAAAGGAAGGAGTACATTCCTTTAATAAAGAACAAATCTATTGCTTAAAAGATTTTGGATAACTGTATTAAAAATAAAAAAAGAAGACCGCAGTTGAGTTAATGGATTAAAAAAAAAAAAATCAAAAATATATTTGTTTCCGAATCCCCCCCCCATTTTGATGGAAGTAGACGTAGACAGTATGAAGTCTCCTTTAAAAAGAAAACCACAGCAACATTTAAAAGGACAAACAATTAGTCAGTGCCAGAAAAAGCATAATTTATTATCCTGTAATCCTATTTCTGAATTCCGTAACTTAGAATCGGTTAGAAAATGAGTTCGTAAGGTTTTGTATATACATTTTGCATCCAGTTTAAGACAATAGCTTCCTTTTCCCCCCCTCCTAAACTCGTAGAGGGGTGGAACTTTTTAGATTTTCATTATCCTGAAATTTGATATTAGAAATGTATTTACAGAACAAATCCTCTCGATACAAAAGACAACACTGGCATCACTATTGTGTAGGAATTCTGACATACAATATATTCAGCCAAATGCATTTATAGCAGTGAGGTAAGTGGCATTTTAATTTTAAACTCAACACGTTTCCTTTTTTTAATTTTTATTTTGGAATACAAAACCCCCTTTTTTTTAAACCGTATGCCAACGAAGTGATGTAAGAGGGTAATAAAAATTAAAAATTAACACCAATTTTTTATCAATAATTTTTATTATTAATTTATTAACCCTCAACGGTGCAAAAGTACTTCCCACAAAGCTCAAGCTATATTCCATACGAAAAGAAACTGTGGTATTTTTAATTCAAAAATAAAAATATTTATATTTTAGTGAAAATTTACTAATGTTTTTTTATTAATTAATTATAGTTATAATAATATTTTATAATAGTTATTACATATATACTTATAAAATTTTTAAAAAAAAATGCTGAGTTAGCACTTTTATCTAGTAAATGGAAAGAGATATTTGGAAAAAGTAATTAACGAAAGTAGCAGATTGTAGAGTGATTTAGTACAAATTAGGCACATTGTAGCCATCAATGCTAAGTCGAAATTAAAAGAAACGCGTAACACGCTCATTGTATTTCCTACATTGTGATACCACAAAAAAAAATTTTTTTTCAAAAAAAAAGGAGGAAAAAAAACTACTTATTACAGGGTACCTTTATTTTCGATGTTCTTAAGAAAAGCTTGAAAATAGAATATTAAGCAAAGGTGAATTTAAAGTCGCCTCTACGTACACGCAGAAAAAATCCTGGTAAAATTACCGTACTGGGTACTTATTAGAAATTAGAGATATATGGTAATGACATTTCTGTTAAGAAAAAGTCATAATTCTGGTAATAAAAAAATATACTTTTCATTTAATTTTTTTCTGTTTAAATGGTAACAGACTGGAAGTTTCGGTTTTCAAAATTATACTTCTTATTACCACACATTTAGTAAAAAAATACACAACTGAAAAGCAAATTTAACCAAATAAATAATTCTTTTCCAATTGTTTTCATAAATTTTTCTACATTTACCAAATTTTATCGCATATTTTAAAATCCAATTTAATTGTTAATTTTATGAAATTCACTACCAAAGTTCTTCGGTAAATGTTACCGAAATTCTTAGTGCGTCTATAGAACCAGGAACAAAAATTTTACCAAATTCTAGTAGTTTTGATCAAACTTTTTATTCTTTTTTCCCTCAGCGGGGAATTGATATCCAAAAGGTGTCTATTCTAGCAAAATTTATGCTCTATAACGTTATCACTGTTTTTCTATAACGATTACGGTTTTTATCGAAACATTAACTCTTCTGTTATTCACCCAGGTGTCTCTGTAAACGGTATTAAAACTATAAATTTTATAATGCTAATTTTATTTATTTATTTATCTATTTTTTGGAAGCGCCTTTAGCACACCAACTGATTTCTCTTAACTACTGAATTTTAGCCAATTTCGGCTGATGTAAAGACATGTGAGTTTTATTTTAAATCTAGGAGGAATGCATAGTATTAGTAAATTAAATATCAAAATTTAATACAGTCAAATCCAGCTATAGTGAACCTTCAAGGGACCGAAATTTTAATATCTGTATTTATTTTGAAGTAGAAATTTCAAAATTATTATAAAAAAAAAATGAAAAAAAAAATCTGTCGAAGACAGAAAAAAGTTCACTATATCCACAAAAAATAACATTATACTTGTATAGCAAGGCACGAGACCGAACATTTCGTTCACTATATCCGGGAGTTCACTACAAACCGTGTTCGCTATAGCGGGGTGTGACTGTAAAAATAAATTTTTCAGTTCTTACCCTTAAAGGATCATCGTCGTCATATAAATAGCATGGAACTTATATTTTCTAGATCTAATGTTGCGTATGTGATTGGAAAAATCGTTTAATAATTTTTAACATTCTTATTTACAGTTAATTTAATCGTAATTAAATTAATTATAATATCGTTTTGCGGTTTCACGAAGTAAAAAATATCACGCAAACAAATGCGCGTATTAAGCGTTTTTTTCTTTTCTTTAGCATTAATACCCGATATGCATACTATATCACTTTACAATCTACTACTTTTGTTAATAACATAACTTTTTCCACGTATCTCTTACTACACAACGGCCCTAACTCCGTAGTCTTTTACACGGTCTTATCTTGTAGAGCCCTTTTACTTTACCTATTCACCACTTTAACTGTGTAGCCGCCGACCGGCTGTGTAGGGGACAGGGAACTGTCTTTGCATCAAAAAAGGTCCTGGGTTCGAATACCGGGCAAGGCATGGATGTTTCTTCTCCTTTGTGTGTGAATGCGACCCGCCCTATAAATGGGTTGTGTGAATGGCGTGGCAGAAGTCGAATTCCTGGCCATAGATGGCGCCACTGAAAAACAGAAACAATCGCACCCCACTGCCTAAACAGGCATACGACAAAAAAAAAAAAAAAAAAAAAAAAAAAAAAAAAAAAAAAAAAAAAAAANAAAAAAAAAAAAAAAAAAAAAAAAAAAAAAACTGTGTGGCCATCCGAAACATAAAAGAGTGGCTTCGAATTTTAGAGGAAAGAACGTTTTCCCCAAAGCTCTAGATAAAAAAATGAGACAGATTGTAATTCACCGGTAAGTTTTGCAGTTTTAACGCTTTATTAAACAGTTGAATTTTACTTTTACCTTTCTTCGATTTTCAGTCGAAGTACCATTGCCTACTGTTTGATAAACCATTTTTTTTCTCTTTACTTAATTAAATATTTCGATGCTCAACTTATTTTAAATCAGTTTATTTTCATTTTTGTTAAAAAGTATATTTAGATTAGAATTTTATAAATCGAGCAGGGTAATTTGCTAAGTTAGTAAAATGAACATTATATTACTTTTATCGTCATTTACATTATTAAATAAAATTAAATCAGCATTACTCTGTCATCATGCTACTCGTCATATTACGCTAATCATTCACTAATCAAAAGTCAAATCATTCGACCCATTAGATGTGCGAATTAAAATCATGCTTATTATTCGTTTCTCTTTATCGTATGCAAAGTAATGTAGCTCGGAAACTCGCAAATTCTCATTAAATATAGATAAGCGATAAAAGCTAACACTTGCAGTCTTTGAAATTGTTTAAATGTTATGGTGATGCCCCGTTTTTTTGTAAAACTCGTATTAATCTGAGATCTGACGAATGCTTAGTAAACTTAAAATTAATACTTAGTTAACTTAAAACTTAGTTAACTTGAAAGGAATTTATTGCATAGTTTATTGAATACCGATACTACTAAGTACACTTATTTCCAGTAACTACTTGACGTCAGTACCTACGTAAGGATACATTTATTAAATGATCTAAAAATTTTGCACTATCGCGTAATGCAGTGTTTCCCAAAGTGTCGTACGCGTACCCCCAGGGGTATGGGAACAGTTTAGCGGGGGTACTCGTTCTTATGCGAAATATCTTGCAACAAGCGAAAGTTTCAAAAATTTATATTTAAAAACAAAGCTGGCCATGAAAATTTACGATTACGTATTTTGCTTTTGGCTATTTTTTGCAGAGTTAGCAGTTAATAATTAGTGGTGTCAACAGCCAGTTTTAATTTTTAACTTTTGTGCGAATTTTTTATAGTAAAAAATACATTCATTTTTTTTATTAGTGGTGCACAGAGTTACGGAAAATTTAGAAAGGGTACTCAAAAGTCATAAGTTTGAGAAACACTGGCATAATGCATCCCGTACGTATATCATGCGTAAGTTCTGTAGAGATTGCGTGTACCGCAGCAAATGTGTCTGTGAACATACTTGAACGTGTGAGATGCTGCGTGAAAGTGTTAGATATCTTTAGATAATATATACAGGATGTAAAAAAAGTTTGGAAACAGTCAAGTATCTCGAGAAATATACATCGGATCGAAGAAGTGAAAATAGTCACTTTTAATAGTTTCTAACAACTATCCAATGATGCCAAACTCGATCTTTTACCCCCAACCCCTAGAGACGAAGCGAGGAGCAACTTTGAAATATGAAGCCCTACTTTTTTAATGGCAGATTCGGATTCTTCAGAAAAAAGTAACCCCATCTGAGTTATAAAATGTATGCATTTTGCTTCACAGATGGCGCTGTAACCGAGAAAATTAAATTACACACTGTTTCAAATAAGAGTACAAGCTGTTTATAATGGAAAGTCTCGAGACTCATTGGATTAGGAAGATAAAAATAGACAGGCTCAAAAAATTGTAACGATTTTTTTCCTTCGAAAAAGTGCTGAAACATTTTTAATTTAATTTTTCTCAATCTGATGGGTCTCAAAATACCACCAATTTAAACAGATTTTAAAGTTAATTTTCTCAATTACAGCGCCATCTGTGAAGCAAAATGCATAAACTTACAACTCACATAAGGTAATTTTTTCTGGAGAATCCAAATCTGTAATAAAAAAAATAGGATGTCATATTTAAAATTTCAAAGTTTCTCCCCCTCACACGTCCAGGCGTTGGGGGAGAGAGATCAAATTTGGTGTCATCAGATAGTTTTTAAAGCCTATTAAATGTGACTATTTTCTCTTTTTCAAATCCAAAATATTTTTTTCGAGCTATTTGACAATTTCCAAACTTTTTTTACACCCAGTATAAAGATGCATAGTAATAGCGCAGCCGAGGATAGTATCCTTTAAATTGGTAAGTCATATTAATATTACAAATAGTGTATACTTAGATATTATTACTACTAATATAAATATTACATACTTAGGTATTATTAACACTATAACAAATAGTATATAGTTAAACATTATTACAATTACAAATAGTATATACTTAGATATTATTACTACTATTACAACTAGTATATACTTAGATGTTTACTGAACGTACATTTCATTTGCAACAATACGAATTTTTTTTTTAACCATGCATGCTTTCTTAATGATATTTTACTGAAATTTTCTTCTACAGTGCTTCAAATCCCAAGCTTCACTGTAATTTCATCACAAGGGACACAGATCTTGATCTAAATCTTTGGCTTTAAGTATTCGCTGTCTGTATATACGTGTATCAAATAAATTATTTTTATTACGAAAATATTGAATTGAATTATATCACTTGTCATTTTTTGTGTCATCTTTATTCCTTTATTTTATACCCAGAAAGAAGTTTAAGTTATTTCTTTCTATATACAGGGTGTTTATAAAGTCCCGGACCCATTTTGATGTTTATTAACTCATAAAATAATAAAGATAGATTAAAATTAATAATATATATGGTTAGATAGACTCAAAAAGTTTCATGATCCTTGTCAATGAACTGCCACGTGTGCCCTCTTCGTCGCACGGAGAATATCAAGTTGATAGTCAATTTCACGCCAGGTAACGGCAAGCATCCTTTTATGTTTCTGGCATTGTTAATCGCCATAATGTGCGCATATGGGGATCTGAAAACCCCCATGAATACCGTGAGACATAAAGGGATTCCTCTAAGGTTAATGTGTAGTGTGGACTAATGCACGACCGAGTTATTGGGCCTTTCTTTTTTACAGAAAAGACGGTCTCATCAGTTTTATACTTAAACATGTTGGAAAACTTCGTATTTCCACAACTGGAAGAGCTTCGCCACATGTCTTTGTGCGACAAGATGGTGCACCACCTCATTGGGGTATCATCGCTCGTAGTTCTTTGAATGACCATTTTCCAGGAAGATGGATTGGGCGAGAAGCTCCAATTCCTTGGTCACCCAGATCACCTGATATAACGCCGCTGGACTTTTTTCTTTGGGGATTTATAAAGGACAACGCTTACAGGAGGATCGTGTCGAACATTGGTGACCTAAAAGCCAGAATTACAACCGCAATAGCCTCTGTGGATGCCGACATGTTCGCCGCTACCTGGCGTGAAATTCACTATCGACTTGATATTCTCCGTGCGACGAAGGGGGCACACATAGAAGTTCATTGACAAGGGTCATGAAACTTTTTGAGTCTATCTAACCATTTATGTTATTAATTTTAATGTATCTTTATTATTTTATGAGTTATTAAACATCAAAATGGGTCCGGAACTTTATAAACACCCTGTATTTAGAACTTGTAAGCGACAGCTACTCTTTCGTATGTGCGTACATTTGTTTTGCTACCCAAAATCTATAAGACTCAGGAACTTGAAAATATGAAGATGTGTAGGAAAATATATAAGGAGTACGATGGAAAGAAAAAAAATTAAGAATCAATTATTAGTTCGGGAACTATCAACTTGTAAACTTATGGTAAAAAATAACACGTGGGACGTCCTTTAGTCCTCAGAAAGGAATTCACAGGTAGGTACCTTATTTATGTCGCAACTAGAGCTGCAAAATGTGCTATTGGCGACTGTCTGGGAAACATCAGTATATTTTTAAAACTAAACTAACTCAGTGGCGCGACAGCCCATTAAGAGGGCCAAGGCCGACTGTGCCCACCTCAGTTTTCTTGACCTTGGGCTCTGGGGTGCGGGAGCATATGTTCCGGTCAGGTGGTCAGCCGAACGCGGAACCCCCAGTGTTAGTTCCCAAGCATGCTTGGTACTCATTTTATCGACCCACTGAAGGGATGAAAGGCTGAGTCGGCCTTGCCCGGCCCAAGGATCGAACCAAGGACCTGTGGCACGGCAGCGCGAAGCGCTACCACTCAGCCACCGGCGTATATTTTTATCCGTATATTTTTTATTTATTCAAATATAAAAGTATTATATATCTTTTCATTTAAGACATTATATTTAAAATAAATAATAATAAATTAAATTTTACTTTATTTTATTAAATTAGAACTTAAACATAAGCATAAAATTTTGATAAAATTTGAAAAATCATTGTTTTTCCTAATTTATTTTCAAAAAATCCATTTTAAGGGGACCCCAAGCCATGGTCTAATGGGTAATCCAGCCCTGGTGGCTTCCCTGCTTTGGCAGCTCGACGACCTGAGCACGAAGTCGATCGCACGATTGTTGTAGTTAATTTACGTCGCACTAGAGCTGCACGATGGGCTATTGGCGACGGTCTGGGAAACACCCCTGAGGATGATCCGAAGATATGCCATCACAATTTTAATCCTCTGCAGAGGGGATGGCACCCCCGCTTCGGTAGCCCGACGACCTGCACGCGAAGTCGAGCACTTAACGGTAGAACAATTTAACAAGGACCGATACTGCGTATCCTCGGTCCCTACGCAGACTGATCAAAGTGGTCACCCACCCGCAGCCTGTGATGCTTGACTTCGGTGTTCTACTGGGAACCGTGTCCTTACGATCAGTTCACAGCGGGACAAAGGAATTAACAGGCAAATCAAAGGATTGAATACGTAATGCCTAATGCGAGATGACTTTGTAATCTAATCATTGGATTTTCACGTACTAAGATGCGATCTTAATTATTCGTGGAAATAGCCTTAAATATGCTAAAATATTTCCGCAGGCGATATTTTAAGTTACGAAATATACTTTCTCTGAACAAACATGCTTTCGTTCAGACGAATTTAAATTATTGAACCTCAAAATATGGAGGCAATCTCTATCTGGAAAATGTCCCAGTTAACTGAGGACATTTTCAGGCTCGGAAAATCTTTCGAGCTTCGGAATTAAGTTTCGAGAAAAAGATTTTTTTGCACTGATACTGATTTATTTTTTTAATTTCGTAACTTAATGGAGATAGTCTGAAAAGGTATTTGCAAGCCAGCTACGATGATCTTGGGTTCTTAAAGCATTACAAACGCATTCAACAAATTATATTTAATTGAATTTTATAACAGTCGTTCAACAGCCAACCCAATTTTGGGTATAGGACTTTTAATGTTCAACTCCGTATCCTTGTAATTTTGGACCAATCCAGAAGACAAGGAAACTCCTGCACCAGCACCCCAGACGTATGATTTGTTATGGAACATGGAGGACTTAGTGACTCGACAGATTTAACGTGCATAGTCTTCGGAAGGTGGGGATCGAACCCAAGACCTCTAACATATGGGCCCAGTGCCCTAGCAACCAGACTATCCCGTCGCTCAAATTATATTTAAGAACAAAAGCAAGGAATGATGTTCATGGTACAGTGCCATAGAGGAAACAGAATGCAAATAATCCTTTTACATTACTGCACACAGAGCCATCTGTTGGATTTTAGAAATTATTATTATTGTCATTGAGAAATATTATTAACACCTGCTGTGCTGCGTTATGGTAATTCTTACTACAGTGACGGAATAGCATGCACCTAAAATTTTTAAATGTGGTGGATATTTAAATCATTATTCGTAGGATATAATTTCTAAATTTCAATATTCATTCGAAACTACCATTTTTTATCCTTATCAATAATGTATATTTCCTATGAAACTTTTCTCAGCAATTTCAAAAATTCACTACGAGAAACCACAGTTAGAATATTTTGTTAATTTTAATCCCTTTTGATTGGCTTTTTATTTTTATTGGCTACAACATTTTGACATTTCTTAATTGATTTTGTTTGGTGTGAAAAACTTGGTTTCACTCTTCTATAGTAATAAAGCCCACTTTTACATTAATTTACTTTCCTAGCTGTGTCCAAAATAAAAATATTCCTGTTGTATACCATTGAAAAAACAGTTATTCACATTTTCCTAAAGAATTAGGCTTTAAACTCTGCACAATTTACAATCAACTGAATAATATTAATTATTGTCCTACACTAAGCTCCAGAATGGGAAGAGAATTCCCGATTGGATCAAAATCAAGTTATCATTTAAAACTCAAGTTGCAAATAATAATTAAAACAGTCTGTATAAATTTAGACGTAAAGAAAATAAAGCCTACTTCACTTTTTAAGCTTTTCATCAAGGCATCTACAGATTATTGTACTAAAACGATGCATGAAAAACATTGTCTAATTCACTATTTCCGCCATCTATAGTCTCCGAATGGTTTATTTATTTTCACACATATATTATGCAAGCTTGCGTGCTCATTACAAAGTAGGACTTGTGAAGAAAGTTTAAGAACATACATCCCTGTTTACGCTGCACAGGGTTTGGCGGAGTTACGCGGTCTCCCGAACGGCTTTGGCAAAATTCAGAAATAACAGAGAATAAAGTATACGCACCGGCTCACGACGGAATTCGAACCCTCTACCTCTCAACCTATCCTATAACATCACTTTCTGCTGACTTACAGACAGTGCCCGATTTTGAATTACTTAAGCTCAGTTAAGCACTTGTTTGTGTTAAGGCTCTATAAGCGATAACAAGACACCAACTTTATTTCACTATCGTAGTGAGGAGGATGTCTTTCAGCCATCCTGGATGGTCTTCCACAAGCTCTGTTGGCATATGATACTGATACTTAGGTAGCGAATATTTATTTTTAGAATTGCTGGAAGTTTGTAATAGTTATTCATGATTGTTACATCTTGTTAACTTGGGACGGTTTTTCGAAGGCTCTATCGTTGCTTTTTGTTATTGTCGTTAATTTACGTCGCACTAGAGCTGCACAATGGGCTATTGGCGACGGTCTGGGAAGCATCCCGGAGGATGATCCGAAGACATGCCATCACAATTTTGATCCTCTGCGAAGGGGATGGCACCCCCGCTTCGGTAGCCCGACGACCTGCGCGCGAAGTCGAGCACATTACGGTAGCACAGTTTAACGAGGACCAATACTGCACACCCTCGGTCCCTACGCAGACTGATCCAAGTGGTCACCCACCCGCACACTGACCGTAGCCAGTGATGCTTGACTTCGGTGATCTGCTGGGAACCGTGTCTTAACGATCAGTCCACTGCGGGACGTTGCTTTTTGAGAATAATATGTTACTTTCAGAACTGCTGCAAGTTTCTCATGTCATGTAGGTCAAGTTGAGCGTACTTTTAGCTAGCGCCCGGTATGTTTATTATGAAAATGATTCAAAACATTAATATGGAGAAAAGCCAGAGTATTAAAAAAATGAAAAACATCTGCGGTCTTTTCAATATTCAAAAACTTACTCCAATGCTCATAAAAACATGCAAAAAATGAAAATAAAGCATTGTTTTTGATAATTTTCATCTTGGTAAGAAAAATGTCGCCAAACTGGCGATTTAAAAAAAAGTTTAATAACCTTTAAAAAAATAATAAGTTATTTGTCCGTTCTTAAGCACAGATAATTATTTAAAGCAAAATGGCATACATAGTTTAAAATTATAGATTTGCTTCAAGTAAAAGGCATTTAAACTGTGTTTTTTGTTTTAATTTTCGTTAGCAAAACAGCTTTGAAAAAAATCATCTTAACCTTACAGAATAGCTATGTGAAGAAAAGAAAATTTTGTGGAAATGAAAAGTTTGAAATAAATTTTTTTAACAATTTAAAAGTTACTCCAAGAAGAAAGCAGTCCTCAGTCAACACCTCCTAGATAAGAGCAGGCCTCAGCACGGGTTACCGTAAATATCCTTAAGTAGTCCAAACTTAATGACATATTTCGTATTTTCAACCCCTGCGCAGCTTAGTACCCCGAACGTAATGACATCATTCTTATTTTTCATCTACTGCGCAGTTATTTTCGTTAGATCGGACTACTAAATTGATCCGTGTTGAGGCCTTTCTTCTTCTAGGAGTTGTTGCCTCAGCACGGATCAATGTAGTTCAAAGTAACGGACATAAACTGCACAGTGGAGGTTAATAAGTCGTTCGGACTACTAAGCTGTGCAGTGGGGAAAAATAGGAAACATGTCACTACGTTTGTACTACTAAAGGATAAAATTACTTGTTTATGGTAACCCGTGCCGAGGCTTTCTCTCTTCTAGGAGGTATTGCTCCATCACTGCATTGATTGGGAAATATGTGAAAGTGGAAAATTATTCTTTGATTTTTTGCATCTCAAGAAGGAAGGATATCGCCAAATTGGCAATTTTTTAAATATTGAAGTCAAAACAATTAATATAAGCCGTGGACTATTAGAGTTTTTATTTTGTTATATTTATCTCCCATAAAAATATCTTGCAGTTTCCCGGCAACGTGCAGAAAGAGAGTGTAAGAGTTGGGGAAATTTAATAACTTATGTTTATACACGTAAAACATTGTTTCCAGCGTAGTTTTTCACGCTAAATGGAATGAAACTAGCAGATTGGTCATATGGGCTCTATGCACAAACAATACAGTTTTGTGACAGTACCAATTCATGCACATGATAATGCTATCTAGACAAATGAAATAAAGTTACTTTAGGTACAAGTAAAAAGTATTACTTTTGGTACTAAAACCTAACAGATCATCTCATGGTTAGTCACATTTGATGGAGCGTAAATAATTACAATATAAACAATACCTCTTAAATCGAAATATTAGTGTTTAAGTTTATCCCCATTTTCTTAGAATTAATTTAAAAAATTGCCTTTTAATTTAGCATATCAAATTCATTTGCACAATCTATTTTATATAAAATTTTGAAACATCGTAATTCATATTTCCACAGAAATTAGAAGCCATTTATTATTTCTTTTAAATAAAAATGAAAATAATTGTAACTATTAATTTCTGTTAGTGACATGAAGGATTTGGGCTAAATTATAAACACACTTTTTGGGTGATTAATTATCATTTTATTTCAGAACGCATCACAACTTAAATTACACAAAATACAGACAAAATTTTAAGAAAATAAAAACTTTGGTATCCAAGCAACAAATATATTTTTCTTTTAAATTAGCTATGGAATGTCACTTAATAAAGAGAGAAAAAATTATTCAATTAAAAATATAATATATATAATCACAATTGAGATGGAATATACGTACATGTTTTTTTAAAAGAGCACAGCTACCTGTGTCACAATTTTTTTTTTTTTCAATTTCTGAGTCCTGACCGCAATCTAAATGTACTACTGATTAAACATTTTCGTACAAAATTCAGGAATGTTGATCAGAGCGCTTCAAGTTTAAAAAAATAAAGACATCATACATGAAAAATTTAACAATAGTTGTCTAAGTACCGATCTCATATGACACAAATCTGCATTAAGCTATTATTTATAAAAAACAATGTTTTCCTTATTGCGTCGTATTTTGTTTTTTTTTACCAGTATCCATTAAAAAACATTCAACATGCAATTCCTTACAAGAAAATAAAAACTTTTCTTCTTATAAAACCCTTAAATAAAAGCTCAGTAAACTTTAAAAATAGAATTTTCTTTTTCCGAATGATTAACATGACATTTAATTTAATACAAAGTGTAATTTAATGAGAAACACTCACTTGCTCATTGCAGGGATGCTAACATATATTTAGAACTTGTTTTTGAAATCTTATTCAACATTTACCCTAGCTAAGTTAACTTAATTTTACATCAACCAAATAAGCGAGACTTTACAAAGTTTTTAAGCGTTATAGTACTCTGACTGAAAGTTAATAACACAAAAATCAATTTTTCTTGTTCCTCATTAAAATTATAGAACAACATTTTTGCCTCAAAAAGAAATACATTAAGCCAAATATGTATCCACTGAGCTCAATTAAAAAAAAAAAAAAAAACATTATTATTAATGCCAAAAATTTACTAAACTAAATCAAATGTTTACTTGCTTTTGAGTTGCATTCCTCTTTTTTTTCGAACACTATATTAAATGAATGAATTTTATTTTAAAGAACACCTGCCCAGGCTGTTCATAACATCCTCCAATTTTTTGTGTTACGTCTATTTTGGCGCAATATATACACCTATTCATTACAAAAAACGAATTTTTTAATTTTTATAATGTATTCCCTTTAAAAATCGAAAATATTTTTTTCTGCTATATAATTCATTAACTTAAAAAATATCTTTGTGTTGTGAAGGTGTATATGTCATGCCAAAAAAGTGTAACATATACATACGTCATTTTTATTTTGGAATTACGGTTTAAAATTCTGCAACGATCTATTTCGGAAAAACACAAATTTTTAAACAATTCATTGTTCGTGTTGTTGTTGTTTCATCAGTTGTAAGCCAAATTTAATGCAGCACATTGGAATAACAATTCCAAGCTGCAAAGGAACAGCAATTATTTAAAATAGATGAACTTCTGTAAAAAATTCTTTTTTTCCCTGCTGCAACCCACAAAAAATTTACAATCGTTAGTCATCCCTGCATCAACATATATTAATATGGATTTATTGCTCAAATCTATTTTTCTCAATAAGTTACTAGGAACTGAATTTTGTCCTCAACTACTCACATTTATAGAAAAAAAGAGAAACAATGGGGGTGGTGTTTAAATACAAAATAAATAATTAAATATGATCATCAGAACAAATAAATAAATAGAATTGTACAAAAATAACAGTTATTTGTTAAATAAATTAAGAAAGGAATGCAAAGCTGATCTGCATTCTCAATAAATATGTGAAAAAATAACATCTTTTAAAATTAAAATTATTCTAGAAATTTTAAAAGATTCTAAAAAATGCCAATAAAAAGTTAAAATCTGAATAAATATGAAAATTAAATGTTGAAAGTCAATGTGAAAATTAGGCAGCAGTAAACATTAGGTCATGCATAAAGGAGCATTGCATTAAAATTTTTTAATCTAATAATTCCATGTTAAATAGTATATCTTTCAAGGCAATTCCAGAGTAATAATATTTCCTAACAATAAAAAATTTCAGATAAAAATTTGGACTGGAAGACGTAAGATCTTTAAATAAAATTAACAATTGAAACTATGAACAATGATTTCATATAAATAAAAATTCTCTAAGAAATTTCTATACAAAACATAAATTAAAACCAGCATATCAGAAGCACTATGTGCGAAAAAAAAAGAAAGTCTAACTGCTAAAATTTAACAGGCTGAAATAAAGATATTTTAACAAAAGCCATATTTCAAATTCAAGCTATCAAGTCTAAATATTTTTGAATTTCTAAAAATGGATGATAATTTACGTCATGAAACAAGCGTAAAACAACTTCATTAATAACAAATAATTGGAACAGAAAGTAATCAGTAAATTCTGATGTAATAATTTATAAATTGAATTTGAAATTTGCAACTTACTTTAATTTTACTAATACCTAAATAGAAAAATAAGCTTTCACTATTATCTTACTCGATTAACCATTAATTTTAAATGTAAACAAATAGTTTTTAAAAAGTAGTAAAAGAAAATTGTTGAAATTTTAGATGGACACTCAAGTTGATTCATATAATACACTTTGGAGAAAAAGCATCATATAATAAGGCATGTTATTAAAAAAAAAGAAGAAAAAAAAAAGCAATGATTAGTATATTAAAGCTAATCAATTTTAGCTTGAAAATGTATTTAAATTAATACTTTAAATGATTAGACACCAAAAGTAAAAGCTTAAAAAAAAAAGAAAAAAAAAAGGATACACTGTATTTTGCATCTAGCAATTTGTACATTATCTGTGTCCGACTTTAAATAATTCAAAATTTAACTTATATTTAAGCTATCATTAATTTACAATGGAAACAATTTCTTGTAACTACATTATTGTAAAGTAAAGGCTTTTTGATCATTCTTGTCTTGTGATTATTAGCTAAAATTAGTGGAAATATTTTGTATCAAAAACTACAAAATAAATACAAGACATAAAACTAATAATCACAGCTGTAAGGGGTGACAGAACTCACCAATACAGTTTTTACCATTCCATGTTGGGTCGGGAAGCAATGGGACACAAAGGGTGTTTGTTTGCCGCAACTATGTGGACAATGTCTTTCCGAACAGATTGAATATAATCTTGAATCGCCCACCACAGCTGTAGACATTAGCGAAATGGCAAGAATCTTTTATTGTCAATTCGAGTCCCCGTTGCAGATGTGCAACCTACATTGCAACTGATAATTTATTTGAGCATCTGTTGTTAAGTCTCCAATAATTATCTAGCCTCCATTCTTACAAAGCAGTCACTTTTATTTTATGGCTCTGCAAAATTGTACGTTTTTTGTATTAACAAGTTTTTATCGCCCCTTACAGTTGTGAGTAATAAATTTTGCTACTAAAAGTATATTCAACAAATATTCAAAATATGGCTTAAATTAAAATAAAGCAACTATGAAATTCAACAATCAGGACATTTAAGTGCTTCTTTAGTGAAATACCTTTTACTGAAAAAAAAAAAAACAAACACAGAAGATTCAAAATGATACAACACAAACAGTTTGTTAGTAATGACTATGAATGGTATGAGGAAGAAAGTTCCAGTCTACTTTTATAAACATAAAATAAAAAACAAAATTCCTTTCACACTTCAACTTCCTTTTTTCATAAATAATCAGCAGTAAGCTTTCTTTACTTTAGTGAAAAAAAAAGTACAGGGTGGGCTACTTATCAGGCAACTAGCGCTATTCTCAACGGTGAATATCTAAGACTGTGCAATACTGTTCTAATAACATCGTCCAGAGAGTAAACAGCATTCACTTGGAAGTAGATTTCATTTACTTTTATGTAAATAGAAGGTGTCATAACTATTCTGACAGTATAACAATCATGAAAACGAAGGCACATTCACTTTCAGTGTTAACTCGATGTGATAGATATGTTTGTATTTTCATAACATTAAAATATTTTTTTAGTCTTAAGTTTCAATAAAGAATAAACAAGTATTCAGCACATCTCTCAATTTAACTATGTAAATATATATACATCATTGAAAAAAAAATCAAGAATAATAGAATATCAAATAGAATATTTAAATGAATAATAAAAATATTTATTTTCATTATATTAAGTTGCATAAATGGCAATAATGGTAAAGTTACCATCGCATATGAGTATTTAAGAACAAATGAAGCACACCCTGTACTTTTTTCCCCTTATTTTTAATGACTTTCATATTTAAGAGCATCTTTAAGTACACATTATAACTAATTATATATATACAAATGAATGATATAGCAGATGTTAATAAAAACTATACCAGGCACGCAAGACGACGATTTTCTTTGCTAAAAACAGTACCTCAATCTACAGTAGATAGACAATAGTTAAAAACATTTTTATTTAAATAGATTTAACATAAGATGGAAATGCTAAATTTTTTTAATTTCATACAAAATATACTTTTGCATGGTTCTCAAAATTTCAGGGAGGTGAAACTATTATACTTATCAATGATAAGGAAAAATTTAATAAATAACATACATTTTACCATTGTCACTCTACTGCACAGAACTTTCTTCATTTAAAATTGTGATTTACAGATATAATGAGCATTTTTATACACAAATATTGCATGAATAAGTAAGACACATAGAGTGATAATCCTCATTGAATCTTTCCATAATTTTGCAACTGTTCTATCAAGTTTTGTGTCCGTAACGGGTCAAAACTAAATTATTTCTTTTTTTAATGAAGAACAGTTGAAATTATATAATCTTTCTCCTTGATATAAGGATTTAAATGAACTGGAAACTACATCGCACAAATAAGAGCTCCAAAGCGATTTTCCAAGTGTCATCAACTCTACATGTCTTAGCTATGCATTTAAAAATTCTCCTAATACACATGCATTAACAGATCTCAGAATTTTTACACCAATGTGTCTCTGTGAATTAAATGAAGGAAGAAAAAAAAAAGAGTGAAAAATAAACACAAACAATGCAAACAGTTCAAGCATTTACAAGCAATGTGAATTCATTTTCCCCCTAAATCTGCATGGTTAGTGATATCCATGAAAGAAATCACTTTCCATAAAAAAGAACAGTTTTTTTTATTTTTTAAAGTCCTAATAAAGCTGCATACTTTTTCAATGACAACTCTAATAATGATGTGATTTAAGAGAAATACACAAACCAAAACTAGAGGCAGGTCATAAAAAAGGCACAAGTCCACAAGATTTCAGGTAGTCTTGCTTTTGAAAAAGGCTTCTTTTAGCTCGGCTCAAGTCTCGGCTATGCATTTCCCCACGAGTAGATGAGAAAGCACTGTTCCACGCATGCTGCAGCTGTTCTAGTGATGAAGCAGAAGTGGTAGAGTCACTTCATAGATATGAAAAGCGCAACACACCTAAGTCTAATTCCTATCGCACTACACTTAAAATCTAAATCTAGGCGTAAGACAAACGCACAAAAAACGATGCACATCCACAGGGACTTCATGAGACCAGACACAGAAATACAAGGAAAAAAAATAAACTGAAACTTGTCTTTACAAAATACAGTCTCTGTATTGAGAAGTCACAACCCAAGGCCAGATCTTGACATTTTTTTTTTTTTTTATGTTGTGTGGAGATATATGTCATGCCGAAATAGGCATTACACATTGTGTATTTGAACTTTTGCTTCCACAAAATAGTAAGAGTTTTAATAACTCTGAAATCTGTCTGGCCTTAGATCAGTGAACCAATAAGAGACTATTTCACTTTCTGAATCCATTTCCTATAATTTTCATAAATTTTCTGATACTAATCATAACAATTGTTCTTAATGTCTGTGTACACACACATAAAAAAAAGGAAAAACATGCAAACTGTGGGAAAAAAGTTTGCATCATTTGAATATGTCTTTAGGTTCAGAATTAATGATCTACCAGCATTTCTAGATCTATGCATTGGAGTTTTAAAGAGCTGTAGCTTCTTTCTTTTTTTTCATTAATAATCAACAATGGATGTCATGTAGAGAATCTCGAGAAATAACATTTTAGGGCTTAAAAAATAGCTTTTTTTTATTATTCTTCGTTCAATATTAAAATAAAAACTTTTTCTCTATAAACTTTATGTGAAGCCAGTTCTTCATCACTTTGAGATATTTTGGAACACCCCAGATGAAACCAAACGATATCGCTTGAAGATGGTGAATCCAAATTTAAAATGTGTGACAAAGGAGTGATGGCATCAGTCGAGTCTGGAATTAAAACATAATCTTAAAACTACTAAACACTAAACAAAAATCTGCAATTTGCTTTAGGAGTAATTATGAAACTAAGTAAAAAACCTTGAAAATTTTATGAGCAAAAATTTGAAATCAAGGTAACTTTTTTAACTAAGATTTATATTTTAGTTATCGACCAATAATAAATATCACACACATATATATACTAACTTAGTAAAAACCTTAAATTAAATATTTTTATTAGCGAATTGCATTATGTAGTTAATATATTTTAAGCACTTTTTACACACCAAGAATATTTTTGAAGACTCAAAATAAATTTCATACAATAACTAGTTGTTGGCAGAGAACTGTATTTCTAATTCTGTCAGTGACCATAAAAACCTTTTACGCATAATTTTAAATAAATTCATTATTGAGTTGCATATTTTATTCTTTAAAATAAATAACTGCTTTATTCAAATATGTAAAAAATAGTTATTTTTTTATATTTACCTCTTACGTCAATCAAAAGTTAGTTTTATCACATCACATTTTAATAAACTATAATAAAAAAAAAAAAAAAAAAAAAAAAAAAAAAAAAAAAAAAAAAAACTAGTAGGAGAACCACTTTTGATGTGAAATTTGTTTTAAATATACAAGATTTCAGTTTGCCACATTCTTACAATTGTTTTCTTACTAATCTAAGTTTAAAAAAAACTGGGTAGAGTGCACAAACGAAAACTAAAGTAGAAAAAAAGTTGAATAATGGTAAAGGAAGGAATAAATGTCGCATTAGCAGTATTTTCCAAATTCAGTCGCAATATAAATTTTGAACTCAAGGAAGCCCACATAATAACAGTCTTGAGTTACACAGAATTCCGAGAATTTGCGAAAAAAATCACATATCCTGTGCACTCAGTTTCAAAATATGGAAAGATAAGAAAAAACTCGGAATTGCAGGGTACATCCATAATACAATCACTCCTGTCGATTCTCAAAATTTACTAACATATTCATATTTTAATTTCCACTTTTTCTTATTAATACTTATTTTATTATTTCCACCCAGCTATCTAAAAAACTGTAGCTTTAATTAACACAATATTGAAAAAAAATAGAAAGAAAAGAAAATATGTACTATTACAACATGGTGACTCATGGAAACTTTACTTATTATATACTTAGGATACCTCCCTTTTTGGAAAATTTTTGTTTAACTTTTTTACTCTAATTGTATTTTTAGTTTGTAGCTAGAACAAGAATGGCAGTTGGTAAGCACGAGTACTAGGTAAGTTCAGGCCATATGGGTATTACATATTTTACTTAGTCAGTATGCAAATACAAAGAAAATCAGGTGCTTTTGTAATACAGTACAAAACCCGTTATTCGGAAATCAGAAAACCAAAAAACCGGAACGAAATTCAATAAATTTTCTCGCAATTTTTTAATTTTTTTTTTTTTCCCTCATAAGATTTTAGGATTTTTCTTTCTTTTTTGAAAGATAGTTACCTTACCATCATTTCAGAAATAAACATTAGTGTATTACCTCATCGTTTTTTCTTATTTTTAAGATTATTTCCAAATATTTTTTTTTTTTTTTGGGTTTNTTTTTTTTAGTTGGATTTAACAATAAAAAAAACGGCTTTTTGTAGCGATTCAGAAAACCGGAAAAATCAGTTATCCGGAATAGCGATAGTCCCGATCGCTCCGGATAATCGGTTCTCTACTGTACCAAATGTTTCCAAAACATTTTAAGTAAATTTATAATGATAATTTACACATATACATAAATAACCAAAAAAATATATAAGGTAAAGTATGGTAAGAGAAATGAAATATATATATATATATTATTCTATCATCAACCAATATCCAGTCATTGATTTGCATATTAAAGGAGATACAGGTAATGCAGAGTAAAAGATCTTACTCAAAAAAGAGTTCACTTGGCTTGATTGTAAGCCTGTTGATACATGGCAGACTCATCATTCCCATTGTTTCCTGCAGCGGCTGCCATTTGATCCTGAGAAAGAGCATATATCTTAATTATTAAGACATGTCACAAATTTTGTCATTTCAAATGATGTAGTTTCATTACAAGAGTCTTTTTGAAAAGAAAATATTTGTTACTTCTAATATATTAACAAAAAACTTTTTAAGCTATTTCATTTTTATAGCACGTTGGCTCCCAGAAGTTCCTTTTTTTTCTTCTTCTTCCAAATCCTGCATAGTATTGAGGAAACATTTTTGTATTAGTACCTGTACTAGGATGGTTACAAGGTTTTGATGACAAAAGGGGAATTAGTAATCAAGAAACTTGAGAAAAAAAAGAAAAAAAAATTCAAACTAAAAACACCGGATTTTAGCACAATTAAAATTTTTGGGAGGTCCACATTTTCTTGAATCATAGGCAATTCTAAGAAGTATTTGAATGAACACATTTATGAACACATTGAACAATGAACACATTTATAATAAAATAAGGGAAAGGCTAAGACGTATTTATAAAATTATTTAGAAGAGCATTTATAGAAAAACACCATGTTATTCAAGTAGGCAATAAGGTGTTTTTCTCTATTAAGAAAAAACCATGGGAGCATTTAAAATATTAAGAGTTTAAAGAACAAATACCTATGAAAAAAGTTTGGATGTGTCCTCCCATGTTGTCAATTATGAAATTATAATTCAAAAATAGATTTTTTTTCCCTATACTCTTTTTAATGAAGTACTATGAGAGAAAGTGACTATGTGCCAGAAAATATGAAGGTAGAATGCTGGTCCTTTGCATGCAATACTGTAAAAGGGTTAAAATTATCCACTAAAAAAAAAGATTTTACAAGATGAAAGTTTTAAATGACAGAACTAATAAATGTTTCGCATTTAAGAGGTTTAAAGTGCTTTAAGCGCAATCGATAATAAAAAAAAAAGAAAGATTGATTTATTAACAGATAATTCTCATATTACTAAAAATTTTTTTGTATTCTGTTATGCAATCTGTTCAATTTCCCTTTTTTTGAGATTACAGAGACAATGCAAGATTTTCCAAAAAGAAAATAAAAAGGAATTAAATTTAATCATAGCAGTGAAATCTGGGGGAAAAAAACCTAAATATTAAAAAAAAAAAAAAAAAATTTTTGTTTCTTTATTTTTAAAGAATTTCTAAGTGTCTGTATACATTCGAAATTGAAAGTTAAGGATAAAATGAATAAAATATATTATAAATGCATTTCTACCTAATAAAATAATGGTAATTAATATGACATTAATCTGATTTGTTAAAATGAAGAACTTTGGAAAGTTTCAGTTTGCTGAAAAACAGTAAATCTGACAATGTATACATCCGAGACTGAAAAACTATGATTCATTCCAAGCAGCAATATAAATACAGATTTTTTTTTTTAAATGTGAAAGAAAAGAAACTTGTTAAGGTTATCATTTTAGTAAGTTAATTACTTAAATTGACCACTATACCAAGCACCAAATTTTACTTCTGTAAGAAAAGGAAGCAAAAACCTCAGTAACCTAACTTTTTATGTTGTCCACAACACAAAATTTGTCTAGGGATCTTATCGAATGCTATTCTCAACCTGTCATAAGTTGACCGAAAGAAATAAAACTCTTTCAGAAAATTTTCTATCTCATTATGTTCTGTAATAAAATTTCACTCAATCATCAAACTCGTATCGAAAACTACATCGCAAGTTAACTGTAATAGAAACTATTGATGGCTCTGGAAACAAATAAGCTTGTAAGAACATCAAAATAAATGTTTAAATGCTGAAATGAGTATAATGTTTTAATTGCATGCATTTGTTTTATTACTGATATTTTAAGAAAATATTTAAAAGAAATAACTAACAAAATATGCATATCTGTTTTTAAAATAAATTAGATTTCTATTACATTTAACAAATTTTAGCTAAATATGTAATTAACGTTATTTCTTACGATATATGGGTTTTTGGGGAAGGAAAGTAAACTATTGAAACCATTATTTAAAAAAATTTAATCATAATCTTAATTTCGATTGAAGATATGTAAGAAATATATGAAACTGGTATAAAGAATAATATGATATAATTCAGGGTAGCTGAACAAAATTCCCTGATATATTTTTAAACAATTCCAGTCTATTATCGAAGTATGTACTGACAGTGCTGTGGTCAAAATATACAGTGAACCACAAAAATTTAATAATAATTTATATGTTATATTGCATATTTTATTTAAATTAAAACATAAAACACCACAATAGAGTGAAAAAATGGTAGTAAAGACAAAAGAAATATATCATATAACAGAGAAGAATATTATGTTTAAAAATAATGACATTTAGACTCACTTAGCAAACAAAAAAATTCCTTAGCAACACATGGACTTAATAAAGAAAAAAAAGGAATAAAAATAGTTACTGATAAAACTAAAGGTTCTGTATCAGTTAAGAAATTTTCAGAGAAACAATTTCCTTTTTTGAAAAATGGGTGCTAAAAATAAAACCTGGCTCAACCCCAGAATATATAGTGTTATAACTTATAAGTGGAACAGCAATCCCCATGTTTCCCATGAATTCTTTATAATGAATTTAATTGAATTGAATTCATTTATCAGACCTTGGCGATATAGGATTAAGAAAATAGAGAAAAAAAAAAACAATAACTTATAGGAGATAATAAAACACTATTTATCCCAATAAATTTCTTAATAAAACATAAGAATAGACAATCTGAAGTATATTCATCTTTCAACCTGTTATGGATGCTAGCAACCATACCCCTTTTCGAGCTGAAAGTTTTCTAAGTCACAAAACCAGGGTATGCTATGGTTTTGAGAAATTCGGCTCCATGCCAAATGGGGTGAAAATCAAACTGTTGCGTAATAAATGTGTTTTACTGTAAACGCAAAGGTCGCAAGTTTAGCGATCGCCAATACAAACTCCCTGATTTTTTTAGCAATTTCCAAATTATCAGACATTTTCTCGCTATTCCAGGTAGCGCAGCAATCCCCGTAATTAAAGAGAACAAAATTGACTTCTCCCCTTCAATAAATTGACCACCAAACCAATGCATCATAAATGGTCAACTTACACTGATTTCATTCTATCTCTTGCTTTATGAACAAAATACATCAAGACTTGAAATAAAATTAAAAATAAATAAATACAGTCAGGGTATCTGCTACATTTTAGATTTTCAAATTCATGACTTTCCATGTCTATTTCAAAGAACCTTTCATGACTTAACGAAGTTACTATTTTCTCCGACAAAAACAGAATAATACATTTAAAAAGCATTATAATAACATTAATTAAAATGATAGGTATAACCAAAACTGTTATACTCTGCATCTTCATATTTATTGATTTTAAATTTAAAAAACAGAGTAAAGAAATAGTTGAAGCAATAAAATAGCTGAGCAAATAATTTTCTTTTTTCTGCACAATTATATTCTAAAGATACTTTTCTTGTTCATCAGAAAGGAAAGAAATACTCCTAATTTTTCTGTTCTCATTTTGGAATTAAAAAAATTTGCCAATGACTGGCTTGCTTCAGCTAAAATTTTAAATTGATAAAATAAAAAAGAAAGATGAATAATAATAATTCTGAAATCACATAACTTTAAAAGATGCTTCGCTCTAGAAATGTTTTTTCTTTCATTTTTCGAAAGAACAGCATAATTTTAAAAGAAAATGATAAAAACTTTTCATATTTTAATAAAATATGACTCAGAGTGGGGATTTTGTTACAAATTCAGATATTTGGAACATCATGAAATTGGGGAGGGATTCCATTTTAAAAATAAAATTTTTCGGCGACCTAAATCCATGACAAATTTTGGTCAATACCAAAATTCATGACTTTCCATGATATTTCAAGACTTTCCAGGAGCGCGGATACCCTGTACAGTAGTTCAGAATACAATAACGCTTATCAAATACATAATATTTACGAATATAACATTTATCAAATAGATTAGAATGTAAGAGAGCATTACCTCGGTGAGTGGCACTGATTGAATAAGATGGGCTGGCTGTGGATAAAGTGCTTGAGCTGAAGGATTCCCTGTGTACGCAGGATGTGCCCCAGTCATAAACTGTAAAATATTGTTATAATTAGAATATATAAACACACATTCAATAGAATATTTTTTTTGTGTACTTACAAAATTGAATAGCCATGCTTGGCTATTGCAGGTATACATACAAATGGAAAAATCAGTAACAACAACTTAGTTAGCATAAACTTTCTCCCATTTTTTATCTTAAGCGAACCACACAAATAAGATTATGCCCACGTGTATTAAAGCTTAAGAAAGAAGAAGAAAAAAAATCATAAATCTCAGGTGATCTGAGCTTTTATAACTGGACCCAACTTCAAATCAATTTCTTCCTACGGCATGGTCGTGAATTATTAATATGCTTCCAAACATTTTAAAAATTAGATATTAAAATCACTATTTTTTATTGTGAAAAGTGAAAAATTGTTTTTCAAATTATCAAAAGTCAATACAATAGTTTATCTTATATCTCTAGATATGAAATCTAAACATATTCCTTATTTCAGGGGAAAAACATTGGACAAAAAAATTTGGAATATTTGTTTTAAATTTAATTAGGTGTATGTACAAAATGTGTAATAAAAAGCTTAGTCATAGCAATGAAAATACAAATTAAAAATACATTTACAACAAAACAACTACATAGGAAAGATAATACTATTAAATTGCTAATAATTAAAATAGGAGAATATATAAACGTAATTTAAATAAATATATTCTGAACATAATCTTAATTTAAATCAAACAGTAGATTACAGTGAGTCAAAAAAAATAAATAAATTAAAGGGATATTAAACTACAAAAACAAATTTAACTAGACGGCTAGCATTTAGCACAAGGCCTTGAACAAATGTGATATGGTAAAAAATGCCTAGCATACCGACCAGATCAATTTACTACATTAGTCAGGATATTATATAAAATTGTGTTATACAATTGAAAAATGCTAGAGAGAATAGATTTGTGAGCCTAATCAGATTTTTAGGTAAGCATATACAGCAATTCCCATATTTTAAAAGAATTTTAGTTGAAAATTGTAATTCCTTCAAAACTTAATAAAACTAAAAATTTAAACAAGTATAATGTGCTACTATATATCCTCCTATAACAATCTTATGTAATTCAATTTAATAAAAAGTCATTGGTATTTAAGACCTACAGATGTTCCAGATATCTGCATTTGGGACAACTGAGCTGTCATAGGTCCTACAAGTGCTCCATAATGAATAGGATCAATAGATGAAGGGATCATCTATGAAAAAAAGGAAATGAAAAATATAATAAAAAACACATTTAATCAGTCAAAACATTACTTATTTAAATGACAGTATAAAACAAATATTTTCATCTGCAGTATAAAATAATATAACATAGTGAAAGATAATTTCAAAACAAAATACAATTTAAATAACAAGAGTTGTCAGTAACAGAATGAATTTCATACAAGCCAAAGACAAGCTTCAACAGGGAATTTTTTTAAATTAGAAATGTATAAAAAATTTTTTTTATATATATTTTAAAAATTTCTATTTTATTTCTTTTTATTTCCAATGGCAGATTATAGACAGTAACAGCATACATAAACATCGAATGAAAATAAGAACAGAAACAAAAGATGCTGTAACAAAGTCTATTAATCACAACATGTCTGGAGCTTCCCAAAAGTGTTCAGTGATAGAATTCTTGTAAAGTGCAGATCAGCGGAGAAGGTGCGTGGAGTCCATGTCCTCATCAGAACTGCAAAGAGTGCATACCGGGAAAGGAACGATATCAAATCTAGACAGATGTTTCCACAGACAGTCATGACCGGTGGCTAAGCGGAATTCAGCCACCGCTCTTAGTCTTGGGCCATTTCGCAAATTTAGTACGGTAGTCCTCCAAGACTTAGTAGAAGTACGGCCGATAAGCTCTTCATGAGCACAAGTCCTAAAGGTCCTCTTAATAAGCTGTTTGATGGAACAGAAGGGCATAAGGTGTGTAGAAGTCTGAATAATTAAGGTCTACTTTTTTGTTAAGTAGTCTGCATTTTCATTGACCGTAACCCCGCAATGGGCAGGAACCCACTGGAGAACAATGGTTTTCTTAAGAGATGCTAGGTATTCAAGTTGGAGGCGGCAATCTAAAATGTCTCGAGTTAAGGGATTATTTAAGGATGCAATAGCAAGCAAAGCAACTCTTGAATCACATAGGACAAGGGTTTTTTCAAAAAGATCAATATGACAATGTAACTGGACTAGAGCTATTCGGATTGCAGCTATCTCTCCATCAAAAGCAGATCCCTGTTTTATTTTATATATTAACTTTTAAGTAATCCACACCAACTCTAATAACAAAAACATTTTTAATGATAAGTTAAAAATCTGTTTACTTCTAGATAATTGTGTTCCAATAAATATGATCTGCAGCTTAATATTTAATTGCATGTTATTCATAAGCACAAATTAAAAGAAATTCTTCTCATTTAATGGCACTTATATGTGTAAATTAAAATATCAGTAAATATGGATAGCAGTTCAATACAAATGATACCTTTTTCAACATTCATTACAAGTTATTCATAAGCTAATATCCAGAATCAGAAAAAATTCATTCATCTAAGTATTAAGTTATCCCTGTATACATTGCAAAACTCTACAGTTATTTTATATTAAACTTTTCATAAAATTAATTTTTCTTGCTACAGGTTTACGTTGATTTTTTCGCAAAAAGTATTAAATGTACAAATAAAACTTAATTGGTACTAATGGTAGCAGTTAAAAACAACATTTTTATGTTGTGAAACGAAGTGATTTTATCATATGTCATAACTTTTATTAGCTTTGTGTTGGTAGTTAATGTAGATCTAATTGTCACAACATTACAAAATGTGCAAGAATGTATTCAATTTAAAACAAGTTTAAATATTTCAGAGAAATAAAATAAATAATTGACAAATGAAAACCCATATAGTATAATATGAGTATAATATTAAAATAACTTTTTCTTTACAGAAAATAAAATTTTTTTTATATCTTGTAAGGCAAATAGTACAAAAATGTGGCATTGGTAGTTTTTTTTTTTTTTTTTTTTTTTTTTTAAATTATGTAATTTTTTTAACAATTTGTAATTAACAATTATTATAGGTAGTTTTGGGGTGAAAAACAATTGTAATAACTGCAATCAGCAGATACAATACTCAATATTATTGATTATGAAAAGTAACATTTTACTTGCAAAAAATATACTTGCATTATCTCAAAAATAAAATAACCTGGTATTAAGTAAAATAGAAAATCCTATTAGGACATATCATTAAATTTTAGCCTTCTATTAAAGAAGCTGAAATGTCTTATCCACTAATAGTTGTTAAAAAATTTTTTTTTCTCAATTTGAAGGAAAACTATTTTTTTTTAATTTATATAATATAAGTTATATAATAATATAGTATTAAAAGTAATAAATTTCACAAGCTTAAATTTGCTTAAATCTTAGTCCATACTGCGGGTAATTTATATCTAAACAATATTTAATATTTTTAGTACAAAATTTTTCAAGACTTCCAATATCACTTATATACAAAACAAATATATAGAAAAAAGTATCATTCAATCATCTTTTGAACTAGACAAGCAAGTGCTACAAATTACATAGGAGCATCAAAAGCAAGGGCCTAATTGTAATTTAAGTAAAACCCTATATGTCATTAGACAAAATTTTTTCAAACAATCATTATGAAATTTACAATAAATGATCAAAAACTTACAGGAGTCAATGGTTGTTGCACTATATATTGATGAGGATGAACCCAAGTAGTGCTCGGCTGTAATTGATAAGGTGAAACTGGTGTTGAATAAGACCTCTGGTATCCACTGATTGGACTTACAAGTTGGGAAGTGATTCTGAGAACATACAATTAAAATTAGTTTCACTAGCATTTTAATGAATTATTGATGAAATAAATATTTTGTACACAAAATAAGAGACACTTTACAGGCTAATTTAGATTTACAGCTTGTATTGTCTTTTCTTGATTTAATTTTCTTTTGAAAAACAAATTGAAAAAGATGTGTTATCTTTATAAAAATTATATTACTCAAAGCATTTGGGATCAAAGCTATTTTGCGTGATTGTATTCAGATTAGAATGGTAACACCATTTATTAATCTAATTTAATCAACTTAAAAAAAATAATAAACAAAAGAAAGCTATATATTGCTTAATTTTAACACAATCATTTAAAAAATGCCTCATTGTTAAACTATATAAAATATTTTATTCTTAAATTAACTTGTCAAGGATGAGAGTAGTTAGAAAGTAAAGAAGGGGAAATCCAAGAATGAATATTATATATATATATATCCTGTAAATAAGAATCGCAATGCGCAACTTTTAAATCAGGTAAATACGAAAACCGATGCTTGAAGTTAAATTCGTTTGAATAAGAATCGCTACATAGGGTCTTAAAAACACAGGAATACAAATTGCGAATTGAATTTTCAAACCTCGTAAATAAGAATCGCAATGTAAGATATTTAAATCACGTGAATAAAAATCTTAAAAACGCGTAAATACAAATTGCAATATTGAATTTCAGAAACTTGTAAATAAGAATCGCAATGTACGATATTTAAATCACGTGAATAAGAATTGCAATGCGCAACTTTTAAATCAGGTAAATATGAATATCAATATTTCATATTAAAATCGAATGAATAAGATTCTATAGAATTTCAAAAATGCGTGAATACAAATCGAGATATTTGATTTTCAAATCTCGTAAATAAGAATCACAATGAACAATATTTAAATCGCTTGAATAAGAATAGCAACTTTGAAATCAGGTAAATACGAAAATCTATGTTTGATATTAAAATTGCGTGAATAAGAACAGAAATATTAGCAGATTCTGGACTTAGGATTTCTAAAAGGCTTGCTTGTATTGTTGCTTAGCCATAATAAATAAAAATGTACAACATTTGAATGAGCAAATTAATATTTTCACCACAAATCCGCCACTATTTTTCATTATTTCGCTTGGTTTCGCTCAGGCAAACAGGAAGCAACGACGTCCGAATCACAAAAATACGAGCTGTCTGTCGGAGAAGCCTTATTTTCTGTGCGTAAAAGTGGAGAAAACATCTGAAATAAGTGAAAATGGGAAGGGTTGGCAGCTACGTAGTTTGCATTTTCTGCTTGTCTTTGAAAATCGAAAATAAATATATTTTATTTAAATGACTGAATTTTCACAAAAAGCGGAAATTCGAGAGACTAAAGTGAAAAAAGCAGAAATCCGTTAAAAATTCTCATCCCCAACTTGTACTATTGTTTCATATAGCGGTACTCATTTGATATTCTTTTGAATCGACCACAAAATTGGAATAGTAACTTCATTAATTTACAAAGCTGATTACATTGATTTATATTCTTTAGCAAGATTTGTAAGGTGTTCTTTTAATTCCATTTTAATTTATTTATCTTGCTAAGATAACATAAAACACTTCCTTCTAGCAGAAGTAACAGCAAGTCTGGATAGTTAAACTCAACTACATTAATTATAATAAAAAATCAGCTAATACAAGAAAAAAAAAATTCAACATTTAGATTTTTAAGAAAAAGTTATTTTGCTCACATAAAATTATCAACTTTATGCAGTCATGTAATTCTTTTTTGTAGAACTCTTGTATGAATTAAGATAGCATATCATTCAAATTGAAAAAAAGGGGGGAAAAGTTTTGTACGTAAAAAGAAAATCAGAATTCACTTTTAACACAGGTATTTGTATGAAAGAAATAAACATAATCAGAATTCTAATGCAATTAGTATAAAATGAAAAAAAAATGTGACATTTAAAAAATTAATTTTAATTTCACATGGAAAGAATTACTTTTGTATTCATGTAAAAAGAGTAGTAAATTAAGGAGTAAATAAATAATACACAGAAGTGAATAAAGCACCCATTAAAATGTTAATAAAATAAAGAGTATGAGGGGAAAACAATGAATTGGCAATAATAAATACTTTACCCATTCTGATTTATTCCACTTTGGTCATACAGCTGAACTCCCTAGAAAGAATAAAATAAATAACTTAGAAAAATTTTTTTTTTTTTAAAACCAAGCATTTATTATTAAAAGGTTATAAAAATTTATAACTAAAACTGGTTATTAACGATATATGTAAGAAGTCAGATTCTGATAATCATTGGGATGAAAAAGACATGGTTATTTTATGATTGTGCACTGATTCTGTCAGTCTAATTGGGAAATTTATTTAATAATTTCAATGTATGTACAGTTTCTCTTTAACACAGAGAAAACTTTTTTTTTTTTTTTTTTTTTTTTTGTAGAAACACAAATGGGCATAAGGCTTTGAACTCAATTCAAAGCAAAAAGGCTAATGCAATCCAATAATAAAAATTTAATTTCCACCTCCACAATATATGATCAATCAATTTGTGGTCTGCAGTCTTAACATCAGAGAAATTTACATTTACTTCCCCCTCAACAGAATTTGGTATTGTTAGAAGACATTTTAATTAAATGTAAACAAATAGATGGCAGTACTAATTTAGCCACACCTTATCCCAACTCTTCATAGTTATTCATTAAAACATGCAACCAATGACTGGAGGTTTAGTGAATACTGCCAGATTAAAATTTTAAACTTCTCAGACAGAGTAATTTCTAAATTATCAGTGTAACATTTTGATAAGTAGATTGTCATGTAATGTTATTTGCAATTTGCATTGTCTTTTTTAAGCACATTAAAAAAAAAAAAGACTTCAAGTCACATGATCAAATGAATTCTAAATGATTATGAGGATTTAGTTAAAAATGCTACTGTAAATTAGTTTTTATTATATAAATATTAGTTTAAAACATCTCATACTTCAGCTCTTTCTGGCCATAGCCTTTGTTCTTGGCTCTTAAATTGATTTCGTTTTTTGTTTCCTCCATCTGCAAATTTCACTAACAGAGGGTCTTTACTACCTGCAAGAAATAAAAGTATGTGAGAAAGCGGAAAATACTCGTTTCTACAAGTTAGAAATGCATTACCTTTATACCTATATGCAATTAGAAAATAATGTAAGTGTAGGTCTTTGTGAAAATCTATGTGTACATTGTTGTTTTTACAATTCTTTGGCGGTATACAAATGCTAAAGAATTTTAATAATTAAATCAATAACTTAACTTTCATAACTTTTGTTATTTTATTATATTTATCATGCAAATAATACACACTAATAACTTGGATATAAAAATATGAAATGCTTAATATAAGTGGGAAACACTACTGATAAACAATTACTGTTTAATATTAGAATGTCCAAAGAGATTAAACAAATTCATAATTTTTATAATTACTTCTTTGTTCCTATTTCTATTAGACATTGCCAATTGGCTACTTTTTTCAGATTGCTGATATGTTTGAAAAAAAAAAAAGTTCAAGAGTTGTTGGTGAGTTGAAATAACAATATAAGAATAACTTGTAATAATGAGAAAGTAAATCTTAACTCGACAAGAAAAATGTAGCTATAAATTATATCTGAATTAAAAATAAAAAGGATCAAATTGTTTGTCTGGATTAATGAAACAACGGAAAGTGGATTGGAGAACCATTCTCCAGAAAAAACTTAATTTCCAGTGAATTTCAATGTAAAATTAGAACCAAATATTCTTAGTTCAAATACAAATAACTTTAATTACAATTTAAAAAATTAATATGTATAACATTGATTAAATGTAGAAAAAAGTTACATTAAAATAATTTTTTCAAAAATTTCTAATAAAAAGTTTTCTTATGAATTTTATTAAAGGCTTTAGATAGAAAGTGGTTCACAAAATTTGTATTATTTTGATCTTATTAGATGTTTAGATAAATGAAAATTATTGAATTATTTAAAAGTTTAAATTGAATTAAAGTATCTTAGACGACTAGATAAACAAATAAAAATGCCACCTAAGTTCTAAAATATGATTGATTGAATTATTTGCAAATATGCAGGTATAGGACAAATAGTTTCTAAAAAACTCCAGAGTAAAGGATAAATTTTCCTGCAAATTGCAGGTTTTCCCTGTTTCTAGAGTGAGTAGTCATATTGTGTTATATTGCACTCAACTAAAGATTGCAGTCTGAAACATTTTTTATTCTTCTCTAAGTTGAAAACAAAATTTACAAACCAATGTTAAAAAAAATGTTTAATGTTTCTTATAACAATCTAAAATAATAATAACAACTGAACTTGGCAGTTGGAATTATATTATGTATAGAAAATTCTTCTCTCTTTTAATTTCTATACTGTTTCTGAGAAAAATCCATGTTTTCCCCTTCTCCTTATAGTTAAAAAGCAGTTATTTTATGATTTTAAAAAATAGTGAAACGTTTTTTTAATAATACAAAAATTTTAAAACTGTTAATCATAACAATGATTTAAATTCTTAAAATATTCTTTTTATCAGTTTTTAAAATTTTTCAGTATATTGAAGAAAACAGTTATGAAGAAGAAGTAACATAAAAACATGTTTTAAATTTTGAAAATAAACTTCACTCAGAACTATGTTTGATAAGCTAAATATAAATAATAAAAATAATAAACTAAATTGCTTTTAAAAATGTAAACTAAAATTATGACTTAACACTCTTCTCATTCAAAAGCTATATTTAATTTAAAAGCTAATATTTAATTTTTCTTCTTAACTTAAAAAAAGCAAATAATCTAGAATTCACGTAATTTATAATTCAAAGCTGCAAATATCAGACAACCATACAAATTCTAATTCACTTTCAGTATTATTTTTGTTAAGAATTGCCACGAGGCGGCGCTCTCATCATATAACACATTATTGTTCAGTTGCCATTCAACTCTAGAACAGGGAACATCACCCTGTCACTCAAAATGATCTTGTCAATTTTATGTTATTAAGTTTCAAAATAAATGTTTATGTTTGTTACAGTCCGCTACTTAATAGCTCAATATATCACGAACACTTAACAATTTTATTTTAACTCAGAAAAAAATTACAAATGAAATTGAATATTTCATAAGCTAATAATCAGTATATCTAATGAAAATTTCAGTTACATTAATACATTTTTCGTTGATTAAAAATTGATAAAATGAATTTAAATAATTGATTAAACTTCTTTGAAATAAAGAAAAATTTATACCTGCAAGAAGTTTTCCATTAAATCTGGAAATGATGACTTCACACATTTCACGAGTATCCATCCTAGGGAAAAAGAGGATAACATTTTACAAATAAATAAATAGAATAAAATAAAAATAAACTATAACATACATACGAATTGAAAAACTCACCTGGCAAATCCAACTCCCCTTGAATTCATTCCAGAATCACGCAAAATACGTGTAGATATAACTGTACCATATGGAGACAATATTTCTTCTAGCTCTGTTTCAGCCATAAATGGAGGTAAATTGGCAATGTACAGATTGGTGGGATCTTGTTCTTGTTGCTTTGATAAAAGAGAGGCAAAATAAAAAAATAATTAGCAAAAGCAATTAACAAAATACACTTACTTTTTACAGTATAAGGCAAAGTAAGGTGAACATCTTTATGTATATTTTAAAATTTATATTATGCTTTAAAAGTAAATTGCTCACACAAAGTTACAGTAGTATTTACAATATATTTAGCTGTTTAATACTTTCAAACACTGAGTCCTGGAAAAATTGTGCAGAAATTCTCTTGCTACACACTATTTTCTTATCAAAAGCAAGGGAAAATAAATATATATATGTATATTTATTTAATAAAAAATGTAGGGAAATACCCAGATAACTGTAGGGAAGCCACAAGATAACATAACTAAACTTAAATCAGTGTTTATTCTGTAATTAATCATTCAATTCACAGAATACAATGAACAACATATCTTTGTATATTTCTTTCACCTGTGTCAAACAAATTTTTGGGAAATATTCTTATATTTTTATTAAGATAGGGTTATTTATAGCCATGTACACATACAAGTAAATAATTCTACTGATAAGAAATTTTTTAACAAAATCTTTTAACAGCGTTAGAAATTATTAAAAAAAAAAAGTTACCGATTCTTCAGATCAATAAATAACATACTGGTAAACTCAAAATTTAACATTTTATGTACTTGTACAATTTATAATCATTTTCCTGCATTTTCCTAATAACAGCACATTTATTAGTTTATTTTGAATAAAACTTGATTAATCATAACAAATTGATTTAAAAATAGAATAAAACACTAAATTGGTCCTCAATTAAAAAAAATAAAGTGCTTAAAATTGCTGCTTTATTTAAATAAAACTCAAAAGAATAAACATCAACATTAAATAATAATACATATTGAGCAATATATTTTGTAATTTTGTGTGTCATATTTTAGTCATTCGTAATTTGTCAGTCACTGGTTCCGCAATATACTAGTTCACTTATTTTTCTCGCATGGGATATCATTTTCTTTATTCTATGTATCGTCCATTTTTTTAAGGCGTTCCCCTTTCTTAAAACGACGATTTGTATCTAAAAATTAAATAGATAATTCTATGGTAAACATAAAACTTAACTAAGGTTTGGCAAAGAAGAGCCACGCCGAATATTTCATTATAATATTTACAATAAAAAGGAGTCGTCATTATTCTAGGAACTATTAATGGCAGACACCCTGGTGACCCCACAGACCAGTGATAACTATTTCATAGTGGTCCTAGGAGAAATTCAGTGGTCCTGCATCAGCGGAAAATCAATGATTTCTAGTGCTGTTAACTAATAAAACATTCTTCACCTCTGCCCAGTTAACTTTTCTACATGGACTTAACATAAAACAAACAACTGTTAACTAATTAAAAGTCACATTTAATTCAGGCCTTTATTTAAATAAAAATTTTATAGTAATTTTATAGCAAATAATTTGTTACAATAATTTTAGATTTACTTACATGATCAAACTAAGATATTTAATTTAATTTGATTCTTACAGTATTAAAAATAAATAAGCTTTGTAGCTACACTTTAACTCAACCAATCAAACAGTTAATAAAATTATTTTTAATTTTATATTAAATTATGCCATACTTTAATTACCAGTCAATTCAAAAATGAAGTTTCACTCTAAATCTAACACACAGTTATCACTCAAATTTTAAGTAATAATATTTAAGAAAAAATTATTGAAAACAACTTAGAGCAAAGTTTCTATGAAAGAAAAAAAGATATAAAACCTTGAAGAGTAAAGAAAGAGAAGACAGAAAGAAGAGGAAAGAGCTCTCGCATAAAATTATTACCCGTGTGTAACATACTTTAGCCATTTGAGCTTGAACACCTTGATTTGCTAAAGCTTTAACAGCTGCTTCTGCTGCCACAGGAGATTCAAAATCAACAAAACCATAACCTGAAACATATCATTGTTACTTAAATAACTCTTTAGCAAGTTTATTACATAAAAATTTGCAATCAGCCATTAAAACTTTTTTACCAACTTCATAACAAAAAAGGGGTTATCTTAAATCATTTACCAGCAAACATTATTTATTATTAACCAGCAAACATTATTTATTATTAACCAGCAAACTCTAAAATTTATGTAAATAAGAGAAATTTTAATAAATTTATTTCATTATTCTTTTAAATTTATCAAACTTAGACCTAACACCATTTTACCCTTTGACACCGGTGTCTCTCATATATATAAATTTTTCTGACGCTTTAATTTCAAGCGAAGATATATTTTGGTATGTTATGATTATAAGAAACAGTCAAATTGTTATTAAAAAAATCTGTTGAATTATCAGAATTAAACTTGTACTAAAATATAAAATCCAAAAAGAGTAGTTTACAATATTTTTTTCATTCATATTCAAAAATTTATCAATAACTGATTTTGTAATTTGAAAAAATTTCCAATGATGAATAACCGATTTTGTAATTCGAAAAAATTTCCAATGATGAATAACTGTTTTTCATAGATTTAAATAACTGCGAATAAGTGCAAATTTGAAATATTATTTGGAAGTGAGCGTGTTTGAAAGATTTTACCTTTATTGCAGAAAAAAACACCACTGCATTTCATTACTATAAATTATTATAATGCTAAATACAGCATTTTTTAAAACTTATTTTGGCCTAAATTAATACAAAATAATGATTCAAGCATGAAAAATATGTTTTAAAAATATTCTGTGTCAAATGGTTAATGGTATTTATTTTTTCTTCTTCTTTAAATTGATATGTACATTCCAGACAACCCAATGAAATTGACTTAGGTGAAAAAGAAATGACAATTTAGCTGGCCTTTAAGGTTACCAGAATTATCTCTTCGACATCATACGGCAGTTCATCAACATAATGATTCCAAACGGTTAACAGACAATATATATATATATATATAATTGTAAATAATTCCAAGAACTAAAAACTGCTTAGGTTTATTTAAAAAAAGGGAGATAATGTTTTACAACAATTTCTTAAAATTTATTTAATTAATGCATTAAAATAGTAAATTTTGAATGTTAAATGTTAATTCAAATATGAATTTTAATTGTGATACAAAAATTTTCTTTCAAAAGAAAAAGTGAAACAATATATAAGATCAACTAAAATAAGAGCATATATTAATACTGAATAAAATCTTTAGCTTTACAAACATTTATTTTACATATACATATTTTTAAGTACACAAATTCCTGCACTCTATTTAACTTCATGTCAATTCTTTTAAATGACAGTTCGCAAGAAAGAAAATTATTCAGGATAATATTTTATTGTTCTTGTTCAAAATATTAAAAGATATCCTCAGTATTTTTAATTCAGCTCAAAACAGTGAAGTTTACATAATAAATAATAGTATTTAAGATAAAAATTATGGCAATATAAGAATACGAAATTGAAAAATTGTTTGACTTCAAAATATTGCACATTTCATGATTAATAACACAACACCTAATAAGAAAAAAATTGATTAATTAATTCAAAATTTGATAAATATAACTGTTTAATAGTTTTATTCATTACGTTCACTTTAAAATGAAAAAGTTGAAAAGCAACAGATAATATAAATTTCATTTTTAACATAGAAATCTATACATAATAACAGAATGACAAATTTAGAAATGTATGCAATAATAATGTGTACGAAATTTCGAATCATAAAACAACATTTTTATAGTTTACTAAACTTACCTTTACATTTATTGGTTTGCTTATCGAGTATTGCTTTAGTAGAAATAATAGGGCCATAGCTAAAAAATACAGAAAAAGTTAATTTTAAGTAAAATATTCCTGTTCTTGAAAGAAAAAGTAAAAGTTAATTACAGAAGTAAATAATCTTACAATATTTCAAGTAAATGAGTATTGCAAAACCAAATTTTTTAATTACAAACGCTTGTTAACATAATCAATACTATGAGTTTAATTAATACCATAAAATAAAATTGCATACTAATTTTTTAATCAAATACTGTAAAGTAGGAATACTCAAATAATATGATAACATTTTTTAACATGGATGAGAAAAACTTTTAACTTTATTAAATTTAATTTGTTTCAATTTATACTATTCTTATTTTAATTCTTATAATTTTCTTTCTTTAAGTTTCTCACGTTTTGTCCAATCCTTTTTCCCCCCCTCCAGTTTCTTCCCAAATTTTGGATTGAATAGGCTGGACAAAATACCAAATCTGGTTTAGATTTAATTACAAAATAAATATTTTTTTCTTATTTTAATTTTTAACATCTGCACCCAAGTGAAAAATTTAGATTGGTCACATGTTGGTCATTTTTACTACATTTTTAACTGAATCTGAATACACCTAGTCTGTGCATCTTTGTTCCTGTATATTGAGAAGTTTGTTGCAAGAGGGAAGATGCATTGATAAACTGGCGGCAGTAATTATTGTAAATTAAAGAGCTGAAGTTTTAAAACTGGAATTGGGTAAATGAATCATAACCCAGCCTCACAAGTGAGAAAATGGCCAATTGAAATTAATTTATAATTTTGTTCACTAGTGAAAAAAATTTAATCGCTTTGAAAATTAAAATACAAATTTGTTTTAAAGCAAACATTGATGGCTGGTGAGCAATTTCAGTTTGTAACAAAGTACTACTGATAAAGAAATTATTTTTCAAGAAGCAGCTTTACTTAGTTCACAAGTTGTAAGCAAACAAGGAAATGTGCACCAAGTGTAACAAAAAAAAATCTTGATATCAAACAAAACTGATTGGAAGAACTATGCAGTGCAATGCATTATCAATGCAATGGAAAATTTAATAGAATGATAAAATTACTTGCAAATTTAAATACTATCTCAACAATGAAATTTCATAGAACCTGAAGCCTCTGCCCACTTCATTTTGTAAACCAGGCAAGTGGAGAGATACCCCAGAAGTACTGGACCAGTTAATTTTTCTGTATGATTACATAAGTTAAATTTCAAGAACTATAAATAGTTTAATAGCAAGCAGTCAGGGTGTGTAGCCAAATTATTCAACAAAAAATAAGCACCTTTTAAGCACTTTTCAATAACTCAAAAAATATTTTTAAGCATTTTTTTGACAATTGTTAAAAATCATGAAATTTGGAATCATGTCATATGCTTTGGACTGACAATACGACGATTGGGGTTGAATTAATTATGAAAACGCTGAATAGAAACAATCTGAACTGTATCTTTTTGCATAATTTGAAGCGAAAATCAACACAGTAAAGGAAAAATCTCATTTTGAAAAAGGGAAAAGTAAGTACTTTTTAAAAACAGCCAATAAAAAAAGCACCTGGGCTTTCAAAAAGAAAAATAAAAAAAATAAAAAAAAGTAAAAAATAAGCAGATTTAAGCATTTTTTAAAAACGCTACGCACCCTGGCAGTACTTAAGCATATAACAAAAAGAAAAGTAAAGTAACTTTCAATAATTGGAAAAATTTTATGGGAAGTAATATAAAAAAGACTTATTATTACATTATAATTTTCAACACATACAAAACTGCACTATTAAACTTGAATGATCTTATTGACAACAAAACTAAAATTAGAATCTTTTTTTTTTTTTAATGCTTTTGAAAAAAACAACCTACATAGCATTACAAAATAATTCATAAATGTAATAAAAATGTGTTAATTAAAATATACAGTTTACTGTAGACTCAAAAAAATATAAAAAAACATCTTCAGAAATATGCAAAATAGTAGCATTATTCTTATAATTATTTGATACACTAAATATTAATTTTTTTATCTGTGTCAAATAATTAAAGCAAAAATATTAATATGTACAGTGCTTAAAATAAAAAAGTGAAAAACCATGAATAACTTTGGATCTAACTATCAGATTTTCCAGTACTAGAACTCAATCTTATGGTTTGAGTATTTTAACTTTATTATGCTAATTATATAAGTACAGACAATATTTTGAGAATTAAAATGCTTAAAATAGCTAGTGGTGCTGTAGTAACGCCACTAAGCTATTTTAATCTGCTTGCCTTGTTACTATAACTAGTCGAGAAGATCCTTTCTTCCCTAAAGAATGCCTTCGCTAGCCAAGTCTTGGTCCGAGAAATTTAGTGTATAATTTAATGTAGTTCCCTAACTAAAAAGTCAGAAACTGCGGGTTAAAAGAATAAAAATGAAAAAGTCGCTTCTTTTAGTCTTTCAAGGATTAGTAAGGAAAAAAAAAGGACTGTTTTTATTTTTACAGAGGTGTTTTCATACAAATATGGAAAAATATTTGTCTTTTCAAGTTTTTCTTCTTCTTTTTTTGGAAGAAATTTAATCAGAAAAAGTGAAGATCATCAATACATTGCCACCTAATTCTGTGGGCAATCAAAATTTTTGTGTAAAAAGATTCAGTCAAGTAAAATTTATCGATAGAGCAAAGAAAGCTAACTTTAAATTATGAACAAACAGGTCTTACTTACTTCATACACAAATTAAAAAGATCCTTATCAGTGGTGTTCTGAGTTAGTCCACGAATATAAAGGTTAGTTTTGCTAAGCTGTTCAGACTGGGAAGAAGAGTTGAGCCCAGAGCCTGCTGAGCCCATGCTTTGAGTACTAGTGGGTGTACTGGTATTGAGGACGGGAGGAGAAGCAGTGGGACCACGAGGCATATTCTAGTAAATAATAAAAACAAATATTAAGTCACACACAGATATTTTTCTGAAATCAACAGTTACAATTAAATAGTTCATAATTACGTGAATATTAAGAAAGAAATTATTTAGTTGGTTGAGTGCGCAGTTTAATTGCAAAAGAGTTAGAAGTGGCTAAACAAGGCAAAACACTGGCATTATTACATAAATTAATAAAAAAAATCGCCAGTTACACCAAGTCAGAGGTTAAAATAGGAAGGAAATTGAATAATATAAAACATCTAGGAAGTCCAACATAATAACACTTTTTTATCATAAGATTGCAAATTTTTAATTATTACCTACTGAAATTTGTATTGTAAGAATTAAAGAATTCATAAAAGGTACAGATTAGCATTTTTTTAAAAAAATCTTAGAATGCTATTTTATTTAATTGGTCATATTTTGGCAAAGCAGAAGTTTGGACAATCAAGCAATGGGAGTTCATGATATGCACTTAATTCTTTAAATACTTCTTTGCTATTATTTGAATAACAAGTATATAAGTGATTTAACGTTTTTTTCATTCAAGCATAAAAGATACCATTTCATAAATAGAAATGAATTAAGGTGTCACAGTACCCAAAAAATGACCAAAATATCGATATTTTTTTATTGCTTATAACAAAACTTCACACTGTTTCAAATGCAATGAAAAAAAAATTATCTCTCTATCTACATTTTTAAAAAAGTTATGAAAGATTTTAGATTATTCTAAAACAGCAGACCAACTTGATCAGCAGACCGACTTTAAAGTGCTTTTACTCATAGATGATAATTTGTGTTTTAATCTTAATTAAATCCCTAAGAAATTTTTTCTATTTAAGATAAAGCTTTAAAGTAAACTTTTATATCTTAAGTATAATACACTTACTATTTAAACTGTACATGGAATAAGCATTTTATGAGGTATTAAAATTTTTACAGCATGTTTATAAACCTAAGAGGAATTTTTAACCTTTTTTTTTATTTTTTTACAAAATAATCAATAAAAAATTTTTCTAATTGATATATCAACAAATGAATGCACAAAATTGTTAAAATGAATATTGCAAGCACTAAGGGAAAAAAAAATTTTTTTTTTGAAAATATGCAAAAATAAAAAAAGCCTAAGGAACTTAAAAAATTTGAAATTTTTCACTTTTTTTTAAATTGAAAAAAAATTAATCAGTTTAATTATTTTTTGAAGATAAATTATTGATTATAAGTTAAATGAGCATGTAAAACATTCACAAAAGGAAACATTCATTTTATTTTAAAAAAATGCTGCAAGGGTTAAGCTGCATTTATATTTTTATCAAATATTGGTTCAATATTTAAAAATTTTATTTTTTACAATTAAACATAATTTTAATTAATAGATATTTTTTAAAAATTACGAATAAAAAATCGATATGTCATTTTTGTTCAAAGAAAATTAAAGATTGTTAATGGGTTAAGATAGTACTATATAAGTTAATATTAATCATATGAGGTAGAAGGGTGTAGGGAGGGAGAAGGTCCAATGAACCACGCAGTCTCGCAGAGGCTTCCGAGGAATGCAGCGGCGCCCGAGGCCACAAACAAGGACCCATTCATGCCACTAGCAGCCATTCACTCGGAACATCTCCTCCAGGTGAGCTACGGAGTCAGGAGGCCACGCCATTCACAGCACATCTACATTCTCACCAAAAGGGTTTTTATAGCAATATATTACTACATTAAAATGATGGCAACATAGAACTTTGAGTTCGTTATATGCTATAACTTTCAAACCCAGTGGCTTCTAACTTCTAATAAGTAACTTGCAATTTGAAACTAATTCAAAACTAACTGATCCAAATAAAAAATAAATAGTGCAAAATTAAGAGCGAAAACAATTTTATAAATTTCATTTAAAAAAAAAAAAAAAAAACAAAAAAACCTATTNAAAAAAAAAAAAAAAAAGCAAGAAAACGATAATTTAAATTTTGAAATAGTTTTCTATTTTTTTTTTTCAATTTGATAAATTACAAGCTGTATGAGTAAGCATTTCAAGAGAATAAAAATACACGTCAAGATTAAAAAATTAAAATAGAAATTTATTAGAAATTATTTTAATCGAAACATTTGTAATACGGGTTATCCAATAACATTGCATCAAATTTGCCGAGAAAAAAGATAACTTTGTAAACATCCCAGGTTTATTAAATTTTTCAGCTATTATATATTAATGCCATAATAAATAATGTTTTTAAACAACCCTCATGGTTACAAAAAACGATAACTAAAAAGATTCAGATAATATTAGGCTATTTAACTTTGAAAATCCTGTACAAAATTTTAAAATATACATATTTTGCTTTTGAAATTAATGTATTTTTATTTATTAAAATTTTTTTTTTTTTGAAAATTTTTCGGTAAAAATTGGTAATAGGTACATTTATTGGCGTTCTATTTCTGGAAAACCTAAACATCAAATACTAAAATAATCCATTTGATACAAAAGCACTGCTGACTTTTTTTGTTGTTGTAAAAATTACCAAATTTTATTGACGATTGGGTTTGTTTACATGGAGCAGGCGCATTAAAGATAAGTATCATTTTGCCTTGAGGATTCACTAAAAAAATTGAAGATACGAAAACGTTAAACAAATTACAACTTTATAGTATTCCTTATAATTTTAAGACGATATCTGGGCGGTTACGACTCTTAACTGCGTCTTGTTTGTGATAAAAGCGAGACAGTCACCGTCTAGCATGAGTAAACTTTCAAAATCAACAACTTCGCATTACAAAGATGTCTGCGAGAAGTCTATTAGTATTAACAATGTTTTAAGAAACAATCTCTCTTCTTTTCTTCGCTTAAATTCAACACTGAGCTCATTTTAAGTAAAATAGGGAAAATATTTAAAAATCCTATTTTAGTACACTCGCGTTTAGTGCATAGAAAATGCAAAGCACATTTAAAACATTATACACCGAAATGAAATATGAAGGGCCACTTTTTAAACCTTATTCGTGAAATCATCATTTATTCAACAAGAGGTTTCCGTGTAATATGGCTGTTACAAAGTTAGAATTCCAGAAACTTATGAAGTGCTCGGAAACAGTACTAAGGATAAATTTGTTACATAAACATCACAATTGGAAAAAGAGTGGTTTATTACTGCCACAAGCTATTCATAAAAAGAACAAGAAAGAAAAAAATTAAAATTCACGCCACGTAAATTAAAATTCGATTGATGTTCAATTAAATCAAATTCAAACCATCTGATTTAATTTCTTACATTTAATCACTCGGAAGATTTCCTTATTTGAAAGATATTTTCTTTTCTACTCAATTGAAATCACAAAATTAAAATATTACCTACACATTTAAATTTGTTAATTTTCCTTCGCGTACATTTGCAAATCTTAACACTGATTTTGTGGATCAATTTAAAACGCTTCTACGAACCGTTTCAATTAAAGGTTAAAATAAAAATTGTTAACTGACATAAAATTTTTTGCCCAACTCACTTTAAAAGTGAATAAACCCGTACTTTGTTAGGTGTTCAACTAAATTAAAAACTCCGACATAGGAAATATACAGGCAAGGTAAATTACATCATTAATATACACGTTGTTAATTTTATTTTTAACATGTCTGATGAAAATTGTATATTTCTCCGCTACTTTCTTGTGTCCAGTGTTTAATTACATTTATTTTCATCAATTAACCGCGCTTTAGAACCAGAAACGCGCATAAACAGAACATTTATTTATTATTAATGAAAATCATTGTAGTATTTACACTATTCAAATATGAAACTTATTAAGCAAGCCCGAAGAGGAAAAAAAAAAAACAATATTTCCAAAAGCAAACATTAATAAAGCGACTGTGCAAACACATGCAGTACATGACAAGGTGTGATAAAAAACAAAATCCATAAATATAGTTTTCTCCACGCGTTTTCTATCGACTGTTAAACGATAGTACGAAGTCCAATTTGAATTCTGAAGTGTCAGCCTCACCATGGCACACGATAACGATTCAGTTTCGTCATGTTCTCGCTCTAAGTTAATCGAATAATGTAAATATCTAACTTTAGAACGGGATATCACATCATTTTTTATAGATTATAAATATGCAATAAAAATAAGTATTTCAAAATATGCTGCAATAAATAATGGAGAAAAGGAGGATTTTTACACAAGTAATCTTATACATTAACACACAAAGAGATTGAAAGTTAATTATTTTTTAAATTGAAATTACATACTAAGCAGTGTGCATAACCTGCTTTAAACAAGATACTTTTCTCTTTTGTTCGAAAAAAGAAGGAAAAAAAAGCAGTAACACAAGTGTTCCTTCATTAGGATTTTGATTGTTGAAACATGATAGCTTTGTCTACCATAATATAAAAATAACTTTTTTATATTAGAAGTTACCGGACTGTAGTTTTCGAAAGGCTAAGCGATAAATAGCAGAAAGAATGTTCTAATTTGTGTAGAATAAGTACTATCACTTTTTTTTTCTTCATTTAAGTGTTATTTATACATTGTATTTTATAACCAGCGTTTGAACAACTGATCTAATTCCGAGTTAACAACTGTCAGCGTTCAACTCCCTAGAATTGTAATTTTGAACCCAACCCAGAAGACAAGGAACTTCTGGATCAAGCATTAGGTCAAACTAGCCTTTATGGAGAACTTATTGATGGAACTAACCCGCAACTGCATTACATAGAGGGAAAAACCACAAAAACCTTCCACGGGACATCAATGAGCTGTTAAGAACCCTTTAAATATTACGTACATCAAAAAATATGCAAAACGCTATTTATAGGGTGCTGACGAATATTTGAAACGACCCCTAAAGGTAAAAACTAAGTGTCTAGCTAAGAGCAAAATTAAACGACACGTGACTTAAATCGATTTTTATGCACTATTACAGGAATGTTTGTATCCCGGAAAAAAAAGAAGAACTGGTACTAAAAGCATCACACTTAAATTTATGAAAGAGCTTATACAACTTTTAA